ACAATTCCAACGAGCTGGCTTCTGGTAGATGGCCATATCTGAGTCTTCGTAGAGGAGTGACGGTTTTTCGCGGTACATGTGGGCTATGAAACCTTCGGTCACTTCGACCACGGGACAACCATCAGAGTCGATGTAAATCAACCGAGGCAAAACTGCTCGTAGACTCTTTTGCAAAGTGTCCGACACTTGTTGCGGCACTACCATGTTGTCGTCATCCTCGTCTTCGTCATCCTCATCTTCGTCGTCGTCCTCCCCAACCCCATCACAACCTTCACTACCCTCTTCATATCCCTTCTTTACAGCAGCTACACCGCCTGTTGAACGACCGTAAGTAGCATTTTTAGCCTTCGTGGTCCCTGTCTTCGTCGCACCATCTTTACCCCCATTCCTCATCTCCCCACGCTCTTCGTCCAGTGCGGTAATCAAGAGTTCGAAGTCCGACCGCAGAAGCAAGGAACGTTCAGAAGCAGCGAGACTCTTGAGTTGTGCAACATTCTCTTTCTTGCGCTTTATTTCAACCATGAGCATGGGTTTCTGTGCTGCCTTCGCCGCATCACAGTTGCTCTGGGCCTCTGCAAGTTCAGTTTCAGCTGCTTCGACTTTCTTTGCTTGTGCGTCCTCTGCTTCACGGACGCGCACTTGAAGTTCCGCCTTCATTCTCGCGAAACGATCGAGCACACGACGCATGCAGGCTATTTCTTGCTTTTTTTCTTCTTGCAGCAGTGTTTTATTTGCACTAGGTCCTTGGCCCGAAGTAGACTTACCACGATGGTCGCTCCACGTCGTATGCGTAGGACCGGCAACTCGACGTCGACTAGCACCAGCTGTTTTCCCCGCTCTACTAGCACGATTTTCAGGGGCTTCGTCCTCTTTATCTTCACTGTCTTCTTCATCTTCAGAAAAATCCTGGTCTTCCTTTTGATCATCCTCCTCGTCTAATCCTTCTTCTTTGCCATTGAGTGTAGTTGATGTTCTTCCGTTCTGAGCATCACCGCTTTGAACCTCAGATGTGGCCTTCACTGCAGCAACTATTTGGCTGTACAGATAGAAGCCCTGCGTACGTTGCGCCAAAGCATGAAGGTCTTGGTCCTTGGAATTCCACAGCTCAAAACGCGCTAGGTCTCTTCGTTGTTCATCGCTTTTGTCCTCTGCGGCAGGAAGAACGCTCTCGGAAGAGGAGGCTACAGCTGTTGAAGAATTGACTTTTTGACGGCAGTCGGTTTTAGACGCTGATTGATCGTTATTCATCGGCTTCGAAGACGAACGCCTCTTCGCAGAGCAATTGCTTTCACGTTCTTGAAGCTTGGCCATCTCCTTCTCGGTCCCAATTCTAGTCGCGACCTGTGCTGATGCGGGGCTATCAGGTTGTTCCTTGACGTCATCAACGAGTAACTGCGAAAACAGGCATCCTTTCTTCAGAAATGAAGCAGTTGTAGCCAGTGTACTAGCATAATTTCCACCAGCTTTATTTGCATTATTTCCACCAGAACCCCCACTAGCCCCACTGCCCGAAGGTGCTGAGTATTCCTCGATAAGCAACAGCATATCGTCCCAGCTCATTTTCTCCACTCGGGCCAAATTTGTATCAAAATGGCCCAAACTTTCAGCTGTCTTGACCATTGCCGGTGTGAGGCAGAGCTGCTTCTTTTTCCCCACGCCCGCACCCGCAGCACCTCCACGCGCACCTCCAAGCTCACCACTCTTACTGGAAGATGAAACGCTGAAAGCGTAAGCGGCGTTCATCCGGTCTGTAAGGGTAGTACGGAGGCCATAGAGCATCTCCTCGAAGGAGTCTGGTTCGTCTTGCTCACTTGCCTCAACCTCTCCTCCTAGAACCTCTCTCCTCCTAAACGCGTTCTCGACTTCTACTCGGCCAGCAATGAGTTCTGACACAATCTTGAGGAACCCATTGCGGGAAAGGCCACTCTTCTTGCCGATGCCATCCGGGCTCATAGCCCTAGCCCTATGAATCAAGGTGTCTACCCTGTCCTTGCCGTTGTCGTCATCGCCCTCTGCAGGAGAAGAAACACTGTCTAGTACTTGTTCATAGAACTTTTCTGGAGAACGGTGAGCCAACTTCCAGTCCACTTGATCCGCGAACGAATCCAAGAAGAGCACAAATAGCGCTAGCGCTCGGTCTTTCTCGGTTGAAAATCCGCCAGAACAGAAGGAAGAAGAGGTATTCTGGCGTTCCATTTCATCCCCGTCTGCTCTGTCGTCGCATGATTCAGTGTCACTGTGGTCTTGCTCCTCTCCATCCATGAGCGCAAGTGCTGTTGTACCTTGTGTATCAGAAAGAACTCTACGCGAATTTGATGTTCGCAGTGCCAACAACATACTAGGACCACCAGCTTTGACTCCGGCTTTTCGCAACACGTCAGCATCCGGAGTTAAGACGCGACGCAAAGAAGGATCAAGCCATGGCGAGTCGTCATGCGCGTATTCACCCTCATTAATACCGAAAAGGACTTTGTTCCCAAACGACGAGAAAAACGTACTCTCCAGCTTGGCTGTTTGTTCTACTCTGCCAGAAGAAGCCGTGATGTCCCCAGAAGCATCTACTAGTACTGGTGCTGCATTACTACTTGTATCGTCTGAATTCTTACTATCGCCATTTGACGACGGCACCGGAACAGAAGATTTCTTCAGCATGTTGAATTTCACCAGGAGTACGCGTTCAGAGCGAGAGCTGCCTGAACTGCCAAACGTATCCTCGAGAATAGGATCCATCCATCCAACCTCACGCTCACGCATCTTCTTCACAGCTCGAGCAGTGCTGATACCTGGACATAATTTATTTGTAGGAAGAATGTAATCTTCTCCCTTCCATCGTGAATGATGATGAACTTCAGAAGTATCTTCGGGTAAAACGAAATGACAATTGCAGTACTGAATCAAATAGCAGACAACTACGAACGGTGAGCATAAATAATGATGAAGGGAGGTCTAGATTGTAGGTCGCTTAGTAAACTAACCCCTGCACTAAAAAGTTTGGTTAAGAACGAGTAGAAGGTGTTAGGAGGTTGGGGAATAAATAAGTTCTAAAGTTATAATATGTAGACCATTGACGCCATCCTCCTCCACAACGTCGAGCGTTACTGGCTTTATTCGCTTCCGGACAATCTTCACTTGAGTGCCCTCAGGAAGAGAAAAATTGTCCACGGTCTCGATCGCTTTGGAGTCGACTAACTTGCGCATTAACTCCTCATGGTTTGCTCCGCAGTAGTCAGTGAAGGGGATTTCTCGCGACCGCCTTGGACCGGATGAGGAAGCGAACAAGCCCGATTGAGGACTCGAAGAGCCCGCTTCTCCGGAATCACCAGCCCCTTTTGTTTCATAGGCGTCAGCGTAGTCGACGAAGGCGGTGGGCAGCTTCTTACGTTTTGGGGATTTCCGCTTGATTTCCGGTAAAAGTATCTCATCGAAATTGTCCTCGTCGAACTCCTGTTGTCCGAATGTATTAGCGAAGATGTTTGTATCGATATTGTCCTTCTACTTACTTAGAAGCTATAAGAAATCCCAATATGATGCGATAATGAATCTTATCGTTATCCATCAAAACAAGATGTTCTTCAAACTTAACTTTCGTCCGCTTTGCTCCTCCCGAACCCCCTTGGCTTCCGCCTCCTACGCGTTTCAGTGTTTTCGGTGTCTCATCCGGAGACGAAAACGCATTTGGTCCAGCTCCGATCCACTCATTGAGTGGCGCAGAACCCTGCCGGCTACCTATTCTCGGCGTTTTCTCGTCCCCCTGTCCTCGGGCTCGTGTTGGTGGGGGGAAAAAATCTCCTGAGGTATTTGCTGTAGTGCCTTTTAGTCCTGCTAGTGATCTACTACTGTGGCGTGACGTCGTACTATCACCACCGCCATCTGTCTTGCGCCTACTGGAATGACCTGCTTCAAGAAGTTGCACTCTGCTGTTAGAGCTACCGCGTCAACACATCTCCAAAACGGCATCCCTGGGACCTTTTCCCCACTAAAAAAGGCGCCAAGTAGGATCATTGTGCTTGGGATGCGTGAGCGGTAGCCTTAATGTTCCCAGCTCCAGCATCCCTCCCGGTAGTTTCAATAGTACATTCAGTATCGATTTCCCCACCACCTCCATACTGTGCTTGCCACCCTTTGCACTGTAAAGCCCTCTTGACGGAAACTGTGACTCCAACTGCAATCTCACTATTGCCCAGAAAGAGATCGCGCGCAGTGCTAGCATCCACGCTCGTAGTGCTCGTCACGCTGCCAGCCGAAACAGTCCTGAGTGTGGGATCCCTGGCTGGCTTTTTTTCACCTCCGTGTAGTTCTGGAGCATGATAGGTTAGAGGAAGTAGGTTAGGTAACGGATACAGTGCATGTGGACGAGGCTACAGCTACACAGCGTCTGCACCATACGAGATAACAGTTTAGTTCTGTCACAACAAACAATGTCTTAAGCGTGAGAGAAGAAGAAGTGTTAGAACAGTACTACAGTGACATCCTTAATTGTATCATCCGCTGGAAGTCAAGGTCAGCAGGCTTCACCCAAAGCCAAGCTTGTTTGGCCGCAAATTCGACCAAATACTCCTCCACCCTGCAGCGCACACTGAGTACCTCACCTACGCTTCCGTCTTCGATCTCATACATACTACAAGAGTTTGTAGTTGAAGGAGTAACTGCGTTATCATTGGTTCCCCCATGTTGAGTGGCAGAGGCTTTTCGTTTTCCTTCCTTACTTTTCTCGTCATCGTCTTTCTGCTTTCCTTGCTCTACCTTGTTGATATCTTTGACCACGCCCTTCAATGCGCCCCTCGCCACTTTGAAGTCCCGATTAGCGACAATGCAGTCTGCGCGGACGAATTCGCGATACCCCAGAGCATCACGGCGGCCGGCTAGGTCTATAAACCGACAAACTGCTTTCTCGGGTACGCCGCGACGACAGGTTTGCCCGTCTGGGTGCAAGGAATACGGACGCCGAAAAGAACGCGGTGCTTGTCGATCCCACGGCGCAAAAGAGTACTCCACTACCTGCGTGCAAGCTAACGCCCAAAAACGTAACTCCCCTTGTAGAAGTTCCTTTGGCTGCAGGAGGCCATTGATGTCAACATTAAGCCGTTTCCAGTTTAAATCGACAACGAACTGCTTCATTTCCAGCTTCTCTTCCTCACTCACGAGAAGCCAGTCAATTCGCTCTAAAGTGAACGCTTTGTAAAGCAACACCATCTCGCGCGCTGCCTCAGGCGTCACTGCTTCGAGAACAGCGGACGTCGGAGCCTCCTTTGATGAGGAAGATGCTAGCCGAGGAGGTGTCTCTTTTCGTTCCCGCACATCGCCATCGTTCTCTATTATTTTGTTAACTTCGACCTCAACATCTCGTAGCTTTTCCTCCGACTCCGTCGGGTCGTCTTTCTCCCGCACATCGCTATCGTCCCCATCTTCTAGCTTATCGGCGACGACGAAGAGTTCCGTAAAGTCCACATGCTTCATTAGAGAGGATATGACGAGTAACTGTCTTTGAGATCTTGATGAAGTAGAGCTTTATGCATAATAGAGGATTGCAATCGACGACGCAGTTCTAGAGATCTTGAAGGGCTTTATGCATTATCCTTATCGCTGCTCACTGACGAAAATGAACAGCTGCAAGAACAAATGGTTCTTTCTTAGTTAGAATTATAGAAAGATGCCTTGCGACCCCGTGAAGTAGAGACTGATAAAAATGCAAATCTTCAACATCAACGTCGACTTCTTCTATAAACAACGTCCAACAGCCTAGAAGTAGAAGTGAACAATAACCCTGTAAGCAACATCCAACAGCCTAGAAGTAGAAGTGAGCTCCAGCAGAATTGAGCTAGAAGTGAACTTCCTTCATAAATCCAGCAGAATTTTCTCTTTCTGAGAAAATGCGAATGCCAGGGTCATCTGCTGCTCAATCAAGAAATCCAACAATTCTTGATTATTATCTTGAAAAAGCTGACTCTTTTCGCACGCCAAATGGTTCACCAGTCCCGTTAACCAAGGAATAATCACACTGCGTCTCGCTGCTAATTTTTCACACTGCGTACTCGTCAGCATCTGTTCTTTGTCTGAGGGTCCTCCTACTTCGAGACCAGACAGATCTGGAATTTCATCGCCGAAAATCGATGTGGAACACGTTGTCGAACTTAGAGCTACCTCCACGGCGCATCCTTGAGCCCATCCCTAAGCCCTTTTTCCCCTTGGAAAAGAAGCCAAGGATCAAGGTCGTATTAAGGACATGCGCCAGCGGTAGCCTTAACGAAAACAAAAAATCGTCAAGCGCGAACAGTTCCTCCTGGGTCTGTTTTTTTTTTGAGTGGTTGATCTTCGCATAGTTCACATCTTTTGACGAGCATGTTTGAGTCTTTGTTCGAAAAATGTCGCCTCGATCGTCAAGCAGAAGACTACAAATCTCAGCCACCTTGATGCTGCGGTAGTTGTCCACCCTTGATGTCGAGTCGGATTCGCAGGTGTTCTTGTTTCCTGTAGTTGCTTCTCCCACACAACTGCTCTTCGCCGCTTCGTCGTCCTCTTCCAGCAAGCCTCTTGCTTTTAGAATCGCCCTTTTGAGATATTCTAAGCCGTCCTCGGTCAGCAACCTCTCATCCAGCACCTTGTGCCATCGAGTCCGCACTGCGAACGGCGTCGCAAGGAGCTGCTCAGAACTAAATCCTTCGTGAGGTAGTATTTCACAACCAAGAAAGTCCAACGCAAAAAACCGGTCCAACAACTGCTCCACCTGCTCTCTTTTGAAAGTCGTAGTTGCTGGTGCTGGTGCTTTCCTTGGTCCGGTCGTTCTCTTTTCAGACGAGGGAGTTGTCACTGCTCCTGTTCGTTCATTCGTGCTGCTTTCTTCATGAAGACCCGGAGTAGCAAACGGACCCTTGAATCTGTCAACGTTGTTCACGGGTGGAGTGCCTGATCGTAGAGGAGTAGCGCTAACGTCATTAGAAGGATATTTACCAGGCTTAGACCTTGTCATTCCCCTGGAGTGCTGCACTAACAGCAGCGCTGCAAAAAGTTGTGCTTCAGCTGCTTCTGCGTTTTTCAGACTTTCCCGTTGCATACGCACCTTGACTGCCAAAATTTGTGTTTTCTTTAGCACCTGCAGCTTCCTTTTTGAAGAGTCATGCTGATGTTCCTGTTGTAGCCCCTCTCGGCCTCCTCGTGCTGCTTCTCCTGGTACTGCTCCTCTCGTAGAAGTTTTACTCTCAGTTCTTGTGGGGGCTAAGTAGAGTGCAAGATTCGGATCCAGAAAAGATGAAGGATCGGCAACTATATCATCTTGTTCTTGTTGTTCCCCAAATTCCCCAAAGTCTTCTGGCTCGTGTCCTTCTTCATGTTCTCCGAACAAAAAGGTCCCAGCTGGCGAGGAAAACTTTAGACGACGCGCTTCAAACGCACTCGAAAACAGCGTAATCCAGTCTAGAATGACGCGTTCTTCCAGCCCGCGCACAAATTTGCAGAAGGACAGCAGAGCGGCCGCACGCGGCTCGTAGTTGAGTAAGGGGCTTAGGCTGGACAGTAGATTCTTTGATAAGCCATAGACACTTAGAAACGTATCTAGCACGCGTTGCACACGCAAAGCAACGGTCTTCGCTTCGGGTGAGAGCGCTTCTGCTTGACAAAAGGCGTCAAGGGGAGTCTTCAGAAATTCGGCACATGACTGCTCTGAGCGCGATTCAACTTCCACAGCATCTTCCGTCCCCTGCACAAGGATTCCTTCTGCTTTCAGGAACTCAACTACGCGCTGATTGTCGCTATCTACGACTGCTTTCTGCTCAACATTACCGCCCTCGAACTCGATAGGAGTATAAGGCCAGGTAGCATCTCCTTCAGCATGTCCCGATGTAGAAACTCGCGTGTGCTGGTCTTCGGCCAGTGCAGCTGGTACGATGATGTTCTCGAAGGTCAAGCACAACTCCCGATCGGCCCCAACGGCTGCAATGGCATTCAACACGATCTTGTTCTGCTGAATCTTTTCCCATCTCCTAGGATCACAAACGTCGCGCGGACGCAGTAGAAACCGCAAGGCAAACTCGTACGTACCAGGCTGACCCCTTAAATACTCGGAACCCGCGGCTAAGGCCATAACTCGTTCTAGGTAAGCGATTTTCGTGTCCAATCTTGACAGTTCTTTCTGAAAATAGCCTGTTTTGGCATCTTCGACTTGTTTTTCGACCTTCTCAACACGGCGACGCATAGTCTGAAGTTCTTCAACGTAGAGCTTATCGATGTGCAATTGCTCCATCTTGGCCAGGAAAGCCGAAGTGTCCTCCTCTTGCAAAACAGCTCTGGTATGTTGCGCGTCCAGCAGACCTAGATCGACTATCGGTTCTTGCCCATTGTGCAGCTGGTTACCACTGTTACCACTATGAAGAACTCCCGAAGAACCAGTACGACCAAATGCCCTAGTTGGCGACTCTCTTGCCAGATCCCCAGGTTTATTCGTTTCAAGTGAGGAGATAAAAAGCGTGACATTGTCGCACAACTCAGTCTCTGGAATCGCCTCTCGCATGGCACTGCACGCTGGTAGCCAAGGTAATGTCAGATCCGATACCAACGTGGACAGGAGGGCTTTCGTTTCCTCACTTGACAAAATGGGTGTTCTGATTCGTTCGTCGCCCGCTCTACTGCTGCCACTGGAAAGCAAGGTCTCATTTTCCCGACTCCAAACTACGCACTCCTTCGCGAAAGATGCAATGTCCACCTTCAGTAGCTTCGTCGCTAAATCCTTGTCATTCAACGGCTTCGCGCCGTGCTTCTGCAGCGCTTGTCGCAAAGAGCGAATGATATCTGCGAAAAGCCGATTGTCAGTCATGTTTTGCGCTGCTTCTTCCTCTTTTTTGGCATGTGCCTTCTTACTCGCAGCTGAGCCTTGCACCAGAATACCTCGCGAACGCCCGCTTCCTGTGCTACTGTGAGAGTTGCTCCTGCTATGAGACTTGGCCATCCACCCATGCTCCTCAGACACAACCAGCTGCATAAACTTGTTCAGGAATCGCCCGTACTGTTTCCCACTATGTCTAACCCAAGAGGCCTTAATATCAGCATCATCTGTGTTGTTAGCAGCTTTCGCTTGTTCGTCTTCCAAGGCCTGCTTTCGAAAGTCTTTCTCTGCCGTCATTTCACAATGGATCCACTTAGTTGACTGCAATTTCAACAACACCAACAACGCAACCAACGTCTGCCTTTCCCGGCCCACGTTCAACGCATGCATGTTCAACTGATCCGCTAATCTCAGCTGTGGCAAGAGTAACCCGACAAAGCAGTGCAGTAGCCTCTCTTGTCGCGGATGCAGAGTGTTGTCCGGCATTGTAGAGGGACCGCCTTGACTAGAAGGGTGCTTTTCAGATGTGCTTTGCGGTGTGACGCAACTTGTTGCGAGCCCACTTCTCGTTCCCCAGTCATGGGCTTCTAAGAAATCGAGGAATTCGTTACGAGCTAGGTGGTAAACCTCATCCAAGTCGTCTGCTCTACTAGTGCTTAGGCGTTGAAGTTGTTCGGTCACACGCTTTTCTCGGCCACTGTTGATTATCGCCCACAATCTTGGCGACACTGGCACGTGCAACTTCCCTACAAGAGCAATCGCCTGCTGGTGGATGGCGCATCTACTTCTAGGACCCACCTCGATTGTCCCACCTGATTCATTGCTCATCGTGACTACATGATTGAGCAGTGTCAGTATTCGTTTTTTGCAGTCTGCAGCTGCTGCTATGGATTCCGGCGACCACTGTGTCTTGTCTGCTGCACCATTACCAGTTCCCTGGTGGCCGCGAGACCGTGGACACTTGCGGAAGAAAGACTGCACAAGCACTGACTGCGACTCACCACTGTAGTTGTAATTGCTGTTGTAGTAAGATTCTTCGATGCCAGTCTCGTCTTCTTCTTCATTATTCTGACACTTATCCACCACCGCCGCAGCATGCATCACCGTTTCTTCCACACAGAGAAGCTCTTCGCGTGCTTTCTCTAATTTTTTCTCTTCTGATTCTAAAGCAGAAAACAGCTGTGCCCGTTTCTGTTGGAGTAGGGTTTTCTCGTTCTGGACAGCAGCTAAAGAGACTAGGTCGTCCACGTGGGCTTGGTGCACTGATTCCATGTTGAGGGGTTGTCCAAAAGTGTGCGTACCCTGCTCATCTTTTTCCAGGAACGCTTCTTCGAACTCACATTCGAAGTCCCTGGCTAAGTCGTGCAAGTAAGCACCATCCGGCTCCGCGATGAAATATCCCTCGTAAGCACGTTGGGCTCTCATGTCTAATTTTTTCTTCATCCTTCTAGAGCTGGAAGGAGTTCTTGCTTCCACAAGCTGCAGGGTCGTGGATGACTTCTCTTGTAGGACATCCACTTCCGAATGAGTCGAACTGCCATTATCTTCCTCGTAGTTGGTCCCTCCTGCTCCACCATCTTCGTTCAACATTGCAAGAAACTCGTCCAAGAAACCGGCAGGAAAAAGGCGACGCACAAGGACGCCACTAGTATTATCGTTGACTGAAGAATTCAGCACGCGTTGCATGCCTCCACGACGTCGGATTTCTGGATGCGGACGCTGCAATTTCTCACTGGGAATGCGATCCAACAACTTGTGAAAACGCTCGAGGATTTTGTGACTGTGACTTTTGGCTTTTTCATTACTCGTGGATGTTTTTCCAGCACCAGTAGCCGATGTACTACTCATTTGCAGAAAACGTGTCTGATTACGGCGTAGAGATGATCCTAGTGGGTCCTCATCTTCTTCCTCTTCAACAGAGAAGTCTGCTAATCCGTCTCCCTCGTCCTTTTCCCAAACGTAACCCTGAAGTAACTCCGGGTCAATCACCACTGTGTTCATCCACGAGTCAAAGTCCTTCAGTATGTAGCGGTAGAGAAACAGCCAGAAGATCTGCTGCAAAGGCTTAGTCAGCAAGTCTTGGGAAATATAGCGCTGCACTGTCCAGTGAAAGACGTTCGCCATCTGTTGCCAATGCTGCGGAGCCTGGCAGTACAGGGTGCTCTCCGGTACGCTACCTGGGATCGACGTGGCATGCCACTGCTCTCCACTCGCGGCTGACGACACACCGTTAACATGGTCGACGGAGCGGAAGAAACGACGTAAAATTTCCAGGTTTTCAGTCGCAAACCCGTTAAGCTTGGCAAAATGCTCAGTCAAAGGCTCATTGCTCTGCGGTCGCAATCGTATCCCCTGTTTTTCTTGGAAAAGTAACCTCTCAAACGACAAGATCGAATTGCAAGAAGAAGAGCCTCCTTGTTGATTTCCACCCGGTGGTACAGACTTCTCTGGGTTTTCAACGTCATGCACAAAAATCGTATGCTCAGTATTGTATGTGGCAGGCACAGCGGGAAGCGTTTCCGTAACGGACACGGCCATAGGACAATCTGCAGTAGGCACCAGTTCTCGCTGTTGCCACCAACCGAAAAACTCTGGTCTTATTCTACCATCTGACCGGAAAAGAGACGAAGGTGGCTTTGCCTTGTGAGACGATGTATTCTTCCCATACTGGAAGAGACTCTCGGCTTTGCGATCTTTTTCCTCTGCTGCAACTATGTCCAGAAGCTCTGCCGCCTTTCCTACTGCTGTTAAGGTTAAAGATGCCGGCTTATTCGCGCTAGAAGGTGAAGATGTTCCACTTTCATCTAGGAGTTGTAACGAAAAGGAGGTTGACAAAGATAAATCCTCAAGCATCGCAGCACCCTCGTATCTTCCCAAAAAAGAGAAGGAAGCAGCGTCCGGTCCGCGCACGAAGTTGGAGAAATACCGCTGCGGTCGCATCTGCCGCACAAAGATTAGAAGAGATAAGTTCCTTTGCCTGCGTTTCCTGACTTCTACTCGGACAAGGAATTTCCCTGTGAGCAAGTCTAAGTCAGTCCCCCCTCTATAATTATAATATTTGACACCAGTTATTGTGTCAACTAAATGTAAATTTCAAAACGTCTCTACAACCGACCATAACAAAAGATGAAAAACGCGACTTTCTTCGGAACCTCGGCGAAACGGGTTGTCCAGGTGTATAGGGACATTCGGTTTCCACCGTTTCTGTTCATCGAGAGTCGCATTGGAACTGCCATTCTCCTTCAACCAGTTCTCAATCTTGGTGTAATAAAACTGATCGAACTCATTTCCACCAGCATCCACTTCTATTTCATGGCCATCACCGTCAACATGCAAGCAATTGCACAAACAGATATTCAGTCTGCGAGCGAACTCTTTTAGCTGAAACCCTTGATTCTCGCACAAACGAGCGACGTCCGCGCGCAGCTGTGAGATTCGAAGGCGCGTGCTGTCTGCTGTAGCCGCCACTGGCAAGCGGGTATGGCAGATATTTGAGGCCATCAATTTCCGACAGAGCGTCGCTGCAGCATCGCCCAGCTCCGTCCGCACGCGTTGTTCGAGTCTCTGCGCTCGCTGTGCCCACAAAGGAGTCTCACCTTTGGGCATAGAAGTGAAATCATAATCAAGACGGTTTCACGCAGTTATTTTCAAAGAAGTGAATAAGCAGTTCAAATATGTAGTTCAAAAAATGGACAGCAAGTACTATCATCATGAACATGATCTTCAGGTTTATAAAGTTTAAATAGGAGAAGAAGGTAAATAAGTACTGTTCGTCGCTCCCTTCATCTGCTCGTCGTCACCCTCGCCAGCAGGAATGTCAACATCGTCTTCAGAAATGATGTGTTTTATCACCTGTTCGCACACATCCGCGGTGCATGTATTTGGCGATCGGCGTAGGACCAGATCGTCTAGGCAGGCAGCGTAGACCTCACTAGGACCAGGCTTCAACGCCACTACATCACATACGAAGGCCGCAGTGCTATGCACGTTGCTGTTCCCGGAAAATCGCACATCCATTGGCAGCCAGACTAGTTTCAGCTTCGATGTAGAGGATGTACTGCCGATCATATCGTCTCTCTTCGGCGTCTTGTTTTTAGGTGCTCTAGTAGTACTCGATCTTTTCCGCTCATCGAGACCACGCTCATCACTTCTAATTACGTCCTCTCGTTTTTTCAGCGTGATCTTTGGTCTTCCCCCTGGTGTTTTTTCCTGAAGGGAGGCTTGATGTTCTTCTTCTTCTTCCTCATCCGAGTTGCTGGAATCCTCTTCGGAAAAAATGGTGGCGAGGGTAGATGAGAGCTGCTGTTGTACTAGTACTGCTTTGCTATTAGGAGAGATCTCACCACCAGCAGAAGTTTCGGCCATTTTATTGTCGCCTGTAGAAGTGGTAGTCGTTGGCCGTGCTTCTTTTTCGCATAGCTTTGATAATCTGGTCGATCGAGAAAGTCGTTGGATTTTCTTTGTCGTGGTCGTTCCCCGCGCACCGCTTAGGGCGTCTTTTTCTGATGGTGATGCCGCAGAAGGAGCTTCCTTCAGGGAGATTACCGTCGAGGCTCGCATTTTGAGTACCGCCGCCTTGGCTAGGGGCTTGCCGTTTGCTGCGGAGCTCCTTGGTCCAGGTTTTAGTACCACACTTTTAGGCTGCGCTTTGGCTTTTGCCCTCAAGGAAGTGAGCTTTTTCAGCTTTTTAGGCGGTCCCGCCTTCACCATGATTGCTCTACTCAGCGTCTTGTTTTCACTGTTCTCAGTATAAGAGAAACGGGAGTCTTGACCACTCGCGCTTTCCTGCTCTCCCGACCCAGGTGCCTCTATTTTGTCATCGGCACTCGCTTCCTCCCCAGTGTGATCGCCTCCCATTTCATGTTCTGGGTCAATGTCACCACATGCCTCAGCACCCTCATCATTCTGCTCATCAACCTGTATACTCTCAGAAGAGTCTCTTCCTCCTACAGATTTCGAATTATCTCTGAGGCAAATCCCTGTTGTACAACTACCAATTATCTCTGAGGCCCCGTTGCTGCTCTCCCTTCCCACACGTTTCTTCCATGGAAATGGGAGTTGTGGATGCATCGAGCATACACCCAAAAGGTACGTCAACGTTGCCAGACTCCCGCGATTATTCGTCATATCCAGCTTCAGAGGTGGAAAGACCGCTTGCTGCACATATTTCACTACGAAGCCCAACCCCGCGTCCGTCAGATCGTTTCCGGCCACGCTCACTGCCACCAACTGCACCCGCCACTGCGATAAAGCGTCCACAAAAATCTCCCGACAGGCAGAGGCAGTCAAACCGCAGTTCTCCAAGTTCAGCGACACGGGCAAAGCGTAGCACGTATGATGGCAATCCGCCAGTACCACTTCGCGAGTTGTGAACGAGGGCTCCTTCTGGGAGAGACGGAGAAGGTAAAGTACAAAATGCTAGCTCCTGATTCTGAATTTCCGAACACATTTTTGTTGTGGTTTAATAACGAAAGTCTCCATTCTTTCAGCTTCTTTCAAGGTATAAGTAATGAAAAACCAATTGGGGGGCTCTTTTTCGTGGGACCACACCCGCCCTTTTATGCGCGTCTCCTTTAACCCATTTAACCAACCCCCGCAGCATTTCTAATCAAGTGTTTAACTAAGACAACGCGAACAGTAGAGACACCGCGGACACGTCGCTTTCAAAACCGGACGCGCGCTGGCTCCCCTTGCCTTACAAGGTCCTCCCTGTCCCCAGCAGCTTTTTTGACTAACTACCCAGCAGCTCCAGCGATCTCAACAACAACAACTTCGTGTAAAACGCAAGAAGTCTTTAAGCATGAAACAAGTTGTCGGGCTCTTTAAGAATGAAAGCCGGCTCACATAATGAGGACGGAAACCGCGGCTGAGACTTTTTTGAGCAACCAACTGGAGTGGCGTGCGAAATTTCGGCTTTCGTCCGTGAAATCCAAATCAACCAGCAATCTAGCCAAAATATCGTCACGATCGACAGGTACTCCAACATCCGACGAAGTGATGATTTCTCCTACGTTCGTCCCATGCGCTAGACCTTCCGCAGCCCTGCTTTGATCTCCGGTTTCTGGGGTCAGCTGTCGCGGATTTTTATCACCGTGTTCCGTAGTCGTCCCAGTTGTTTCTTTGTCCTGCTGCGCACCACTCGTAGCCGCACTTCCTGTCGCCAAGCCACCAGGATCCTCACAACCTCTATTTTCCGTTCTTCTCGGAGAATCAGCACCCCTGCTGGGGTCTTCGCTTCTTCGCCCTTTGAGCACGACTTTTTTTTGACTTTCCGTTTCCGAAGCCTTTGTTCTCTTAGCACGAGCTGCGGCGCTTCTAGCTACACTGCGTGCTGCACTGCGTGCTGCACTACGTGTTGCACTACGCGCTGCACTGCGTGCTGCACTGCGTGCTGCACTGCGTGCTGCACTGCGTGCTGCACTACGTGTTGCACTACGCGCTGCACTGCGTGCTGCACTGCGAGCTCTACTGCGTGCTGAACTACGCGCTGCACTGCGTGCTGCACTACGCGCTGAACTACGTCGGGCTACACTGCGTGCCACACTGCGTGCCACACTGCGGGCCCGCGAAGGACGTGGGCTCTCCCGAACCCTTCTGGTGCTTTCCTTTGCCTCTTTTCCGTCTTTCTTGGTTATAAGGAGGGAAGGGGTATCGCAAAACATGATGGGGATGACGAGGGGGTGGGGGTGGGGGTCAAAGACGTACTCCAAATTGTACTAGGAGCTAATAATTGCTACATCCAAGTAGTATGGTGACAAGTCGCGATCATGTTTAAAAAAGTCTACTTGCTCTTCCAAGTACAAAGTGTTGTATCCATAACTTTCGGACTCGCTTCTTTACCAGCAACTGTGAGGGTATCCGCCGTAGAGGACGTCACACTGGTACTCGTACTGTACCCACTCAGCCCTAACATTGCGCGAAGACTCGCAGAATTCAAAAGGGCAGGCTTTTCCTTTTTCTTGCCCCCCTTGCCGCTAACGACAGCATTAGTACGCGAAGTAGTTGCATTCCCAGTGGAAAACAGCTGATACCGCGATTCAAAAACGCCTGTGGTCGTGCTGCTGTTCGTTGTCGCTTTAGTACTAGAAGAGTCCTCGGTAGCTGCTCCAACACCCTCTGGACCGCCAACGCTGCTGTTATTTTGCACAGCAGACACAATAGGTAACTGCTCTTCACCACCAACCGCACTAGTTCCACTTGCATCGGTTGCGGCGGTCGTTTCTTTGTTAGAGATGAGCTGAAATACCCTCTTATCATTCTGTATCATTATTGTTAGAGGTGAAAAGATCAATGCAGTGTCCTATCAATGCTCCTTGTTCTTGCGTTTTAGCTTCGATGAATCTATGTTAGTTTGTTGTGCTTTCCAAAAAGTAATATGAGTAAATCTCTATGAGTAGAAATCAGCATTCTTACTTGCTTTAGGCGAATCCACTGAATCCTGGCGAATGTCGACGCCTGCTTGCTCCAATGTTTTCCGGATAATGCGCTTTATATCCAAGGTTCCAGGCTCTAGGACTTTCGTCAAAATCGATCTATGAACAATCGCTATCAATCGGTCTCGACCTTTATGTTCTTGTTGGGTGATCGGTAATTGACCGTGGCCCCACTGATCTTCATCATCGCCATCGGAGGAGGACGAAGAATAGTCGGCATCAGAGTCCGCGAATTCTTCCAATAAATCGTCGATCTCCTCTGAGTCATCATCCCTTGTCAAGGATTTATCGTCGTCGGAAGTGGAGGAAGCCTCCAATGAGTAGCCGCTGGGCTCTTCATCGTCAGGTAGATTAGAAACAAGAGTACTAGGGATCGATTTTTACCATCAATATTTATAAGTACATAGATCTATATTTTCAAGCTGAAATAAACCTGTAGATAATACTAGCTGCCAGTGATCACGTGCTTAGAATAACAATACTTCAATCGTGTAGTATCCAAACCAGACCTTAAATAAGGGGGCTGTCGACGCGTCATGCTCACCACGACCTTCACCATTCGGCAGAGGCATCTTCGTGTTTGTTGAGGGTGCCTCATTGTCTTCGTCTAGACGCCCCCCCTCGGCTTCTTCTTCTACCTCCATTTCTACTTCTCTACTCCTTCCTCTTTCCGTTCCTCCACCTACTCTAGCTACTCCACCCAGGGGCTGTGATCCCGTAACCTGGCGTCCATCCCCCATCTCCTCATCGTCCTCATCCGAAGACGAGCTACGATATTGCAAGTCATCGAAGCCACGGACTGCAACCATCTTTTCTGATCTTCTTGTTGTTATAACGAGAACAGCAAGCGAACGCCTCTACCGCATGATTGAAGAGGAGCGAAAAGCTCTAAAATATTAATGAATAATAGTTGCGCTGCTAAGAAAGTTGGAAAATGAGCAATCATATTACCTGCTATCAATCAATGAACTTGTGAGAGAAACAAATGATCTGGACTTAATTAGATCAATTCGCTGTAATAAAGTTATGTAGACACAAAAGAGACAAGGACTCATCCTAGAAGTGACTGTGATTAGCAAAAGTTCGCTGCTAGTACTCTAAGATTTGTTCCCTGACTATGATTGATTTGTTTCTGAGACGACGATGAGTTGGAAAAAGGATGAAACGAGTCGTTCCTCTCTAGCCCTCGCTCAACAAATGTGTAGAGTTGAGATTCTTCAAGGACAAGCAAAACTCTTCGGTTCCTCCATGAAGACGTCCTCAGAGGATCATAGTGTTAGTAGATGTCTTTTTCATGAGCATGACATACTAGTAGAAGCCCACATTCCTTTACACATCGAGCGGGGGCGGGTCCTCGTTCAAGATCATCACTACCGTATTGCTGTACAAAGTTGCTTCCGTGCCTTGTACCCAACACAAATGGCATTTCGGACTCGGAAAGCTGGACAAGAACACTGAGAGACTTTTCCCACACACTGAGAGATTTTGCCAATTCCGCGCGTCCTCACACCTCGAGGTCACGGACGTTGGTTGCGTTTCGTTTTTCATCCAAATTCTTTCATGAAAAAACTGTTCAGAAAAATTCTTGTCAACAAAGTAGAGGTCTTCTTGCCTTCAAAACGGATCCAATCTTCTGTGGTCACCAACTATGAATGTCCTCGAAACAGGAAAACACTAGTAGTCAACATCTAGTACACAATCGTCGATGAATCTCAAACAAAATGTTAAATTCAATTCATTATCTTCCTTCTATACCTCGCTCCCTAGATTTTCCATTAGCAATGCAGATTCCGATGCATTGCTAATTTTATGAGGAACGTGAGAATATCCTGAGGTGCTCAAGCAATCAAAATTATTTTGACAAGAAATTCAACACAATGAGAAACCAATTGAAGATTCAATGCAAATCAAATTTTTCACAATGAATTCAGTAGATGGGATGTTGTAGTTGTAAGAAAAAATACTGTATTTGAGATTTAGACTGCCTTTCAACTCTAACACCAAATTTTAGAAGGAGTCTTCCTGTACGCCTCTTAAGACGTCTTGGACGCTTTTTCATCACAACAAGAAAAAGAACCTCATCAAACCACCTTTGATAGTTTAGATAGTGCTTTGTTTGAATTAAGAAGAGCCTACTTTTACCTTGCAGTACAACTTTAACTCTTGTCGAGTGCACGCACCAGCAGCAAGGATTTGACTCGCCTCCTCCTCAACTGAATGCTCAGACATGTTGAATCCCTTCATCCAATGACGATTTTGCTCTAAATTCTAGTCGTGATCATTAGTTTTCCGCATTGGATTTCTAGATTCATAAGATAACCCTCTGACTGAAAATAACAATGATTGAAAAAAACTGAAACAAAAAGAAGTTCAAATAATACTAGTGCGAAAAACAAGTAATAATGTCGTGCTGAAATGTAGTGAAATTGAGCAATATATAAATATTGTTGACCACGAACAAATCGAAACGATGTGTGATAACAAATTCATAAAAATCTAACAAAACTATTCAAGGATTCTTTTCAAGCTACTGCGGTAGTAGGAACATCAAATCAAGACAAAATTTTACATGCTAAATAGATCGAAAACGAAATCATAATGCTCACAATGCTCACATAGTTGCTGCTTTTTTCTACCCAACACGACTAACACGATTTTTTACAGCATAAGTTTAAAAATGATGAAGATGAATAATTGTATCTGTCTTTTCACTAGATATCAACAATTTAGATCACAACATGAGGCCCTGCTCCTGATAGAGTTATCGCCGGGGGCCTCTAAACCAAAAAATATCCTCATCTTGTACATCTTACTTTTCTTACTACAATATTTCAAAAGTAGACCGAAATCGAACTTGTGTTTGTAAATTGAAGCTTGTTTTATCGCACTGAATAGAATTAGGTAAAAACTTGTCTAGGAAACTGATAAAAGTAAGTAACATGATAACATTAACAACCAAATGGCTAGCCAACAACAACTCAAAGCGACAATACTCGTTCTAGTACCTCCAATGAAATTCTTGCGATTGCAGTAGATACAACACTCATCATTCATCATTCAACGTCGAAAAATATGAATCGGAACTTACCTAAGGTTTCTACACATCCACTTCTAGATCGAATTAGAAAAAAGTTCAGCACTAGGTAGATTGCGACGGCATATTAAGCAAGCCTTCACCTCGGAGGAAACAGCAAGAACAGGTAGAATGGTATACAAGCAGCACAAGTAGTGTCCGTCGAGCAGAAGTCCTAATAGTACCAACAAGACCTTAATAGCATCCCAGGTAACGAAGAGGGGATCATTATGGTCTCTTTTTTTCAGAACTGTCTTTACTCTGTACCCTCTACTTCCATCTGCTTTACTTCATCCTGCGGGGTATGCTCGAGCTTGCTTGTCGTTGCTATTGTTGATAAGATTGAATTGAGAAAAATCAACATTCGTGATCGAGTTTGCTTGTCGTTGCTATTGTTGATAAGATTGATTGAATTGAGAAAAACCAAGAACATTCGTGATTGAGTACTTATACTTGTGGAGTTAGAATTCGAATTGGTGTTCATCTTTGGAAGACTTCTAAATAGATCGTCTATTTTGCAACAGTGTTCAGTAACCAAACTGATATATAATACTACCTGATCCCCAGCTACTGGATGTGGACGCTCTTGGTGGTGAGCCTCGTTTTGCTGTAGCCCCGCCAGTTCCTGCCGCTCCTGCTGCGGGCTTAACCTTCTCTTCCTGCTGCTCCTGGTCTACTTTTGCATTGGCATCCTTTGGAGCGTCCTTATTGGCGGGGATTAGAGGGTGCTGCGAGGCAGAAGGGAGGAAGAATTTATTCGAAAAACTGAAATAACCGAGTAACTATTGAAAATAAGGGAGATACTGAAAGGAGAGAAACGTAGTCAAGACTCTCTTATTTCAGTCAGTAGCTCGCTTATTTTGAGTTTTCGAATACTTAGAAGCAAGTCAGTTCCAGAGAGGAGTCGGATCGAGGATAATACGCATGGTCACCTTCTAAAGGGCCGTTTGGTTTTGGTCCCACAGACAGCTGCGGAGTACATGATTGAGAAAAGAAACTTGGAATCTTCAGTTGCGAATCATAATGTAGCCTGACCGAGCCACTTTCGCAATTCCTCTTGCACTTCTGGGTCTTCAGCAGCGCAGATGCCACCTCCGGAGGATGAAGCAATTACCTTTTTTTTTGTCATAGATGGAGTTTTCTTTGAAGAGAATGAAGACCTAGTTAGCAAGTATAATAAACAAAGGGATCGCGTATCCACAATTTTTAGCTGCATTCAGTAGTACTTATACAACAGCTGCTACATTCCAAGAGGAGCAAAATCTTCACCGAAGATACCCTAATCATGAGTACGAGTAGTACCTTAGCAGGTCTTCCTGGTGGCGGCAAGATGCCAACAGGCTCTTTTTTGCTTTTCGGAGTCCCGTCACCAGTTTCCATAAAGGGGTTGTTTCCTGTCACCGCCATACCATCTTTCGTCTCCTCGCTTTCCATACTGTTCAATTTGCGATTAGAGAGAGGAGAGGGTTAGCTAGGAGGTGTTTAACAAAATTTGTTTCGATCAGTCTGCTGGAAGTCAACAAGTGACATTATCCATCCATAAGCAATGAAGATTCCTTCTCTTCCTTTGCGGCACGTGCTAATTGCAGGAGCTGAGACGACGGGTTCACGACCGGTTGGCAGATTGGCTCCTCAATTGGGGGCATCTGCATTTCTGGCTTCGGGGGTTGATTAGAGATTGAAGATGTATATTTGATGTGATGCGTGACATTATACGTGTCTCAAATCTTCTAAATTCCTATCGAAAAAGATTGAGGGTAAGAAAAGAGTGTTGCCGTTCTTTTCTGCGTGTGTTGTGCGCGCAAATGCCGACGAAACTTGTTCCATTAGCATAATGTTGTTCACCGCTGGAGCTGGCGACTTCTGCTGTGCACTTGACCCTGATCTAGCGCTGTCCTGCTTCCCGGAAACGTCTACTGTCGTTGCCTTGGATACATTCTGGAGTGCGGCCGACAATAGTGAGCTCGTTGCATTGTTGCTCGACGAACTGGCAGCATGTTCCTTAGAAGAGGCACATGATCTTTGAAGCAGAGAGGTATCTATACCTCATTCGGTCGGACTGAAGTACGTCCTCCCTGGACTCCTTGCAAGAAAGTGTAGATAAGTTGAGGTTGTTGTTTTCAATTTTAATATTCAACTTTAATATTCAAACGATACATGCCCCGAAGTTTTTCACCGCCCCAACCAAGGAACGATCGCGAACACTTACATCACCCGCTCCTTGTCATCTAGGACCACGACTCTAGCAACGTGATTCTCTGGACAAGAACAAGCGACATCGAACTACAATTGCCGACCAACACGAAACTTCTGCCAAATAGTACATAAAACGATGAATTTCCAAGGTCCTCAATCTAACGACTCACAAAATCAACATCTTCAAGATCACGATTTTTCAAAACTTGGTTTTGGAAAGCACTTGACTGTCGGTCGTGCCTTCATAGGTGGTGCCTTAATGTTGATATTATTGTTAGTTCCCGATGACGATGAATTCGAGGTCTCCTTGTTACCGAAAGCCGAGTTCTCGAGTGCTGCGAGGCTTCCCTTGACCGCTCCGAGTTTGCCGGCGACCTGAAGTATTAGAGACTGGGACTGCGCATTATATCCATGATCTTGGTGGAAGGACTCCTCATCTTGGACCTGTTTTCCCATCCCCGATGGGACAGTTGTTCCAACTCCAAGATGCTTGTTCAGAAGAAGAAGCTTCAGAAGGGTAAAAAGCCTTAAAAGTAGCATCAGTTCACGTGCATGTTCCCGATAGGCGCTGCTGCTCTTGCCGAAATCTCCCTTTCCCGAGCTAGTCCACGAGTCCTGACCTTTCCAATCGTGGCCCTTGTAGTCGTGGCTGGTGTTAGAAGTTGCACCAAGTACTCCTAGAGAGGGAACAAACAGAACAATCCCTGCAGGTCCTAGAGCAGAGGGAAAAAAAATCCCTAAACTAGCTTTCATCAACATAAGTACTAAAATGCCATTGTTAGTTCACCACGAGTTTTTGACACTTGTTCTACTACAACTCTGTGGAGTCTCAGTTTCTTCATCAATCATTCGACCACAGGTGTCACATCCATGTTCTTGTCACATTCATTTCATCTCCTCCTCACCCAAGAGCCATAACCTTATTGTAGTGGTCTCCCTTGTAGCCTTTGTAGCCCTTGTAGTTGCTCATGCGGTCTTCCAGGATCTTCTCCGTAGGATTGGACGGCATAGATAGCGGCTTCGGCTTCTGGCAACGACGGCAGGTCTTTCGCCATAACCAGTTCTGGTTGCCGCAGGCTGTGTGGGTGATGGGTGTTTTCTCTAGATGAGAGACTATACTCTGAGTTACTTTGTTTTGTTTTCTCTAGATGAGAGAGAGACTACTTTTTTGTTCTCTTTACATAAGAGACTAAGTATACTCTGAGATACAGTTACTTTGATGCATGTACTACTAGTGGTTTTTCAAGTATGTACAAAATGTTTATGCTGGTTCAAGAATTACTGACCTAAAAAAACATCCAGGACTACAATTTAAATCGATAAATTTCAACAAAATATACGGCATTCCCAGTTATTCTGCTTCGAGTCCACGATGCTCAATGGAGCACGGCAACTGTCACAATGCGTGCGTCGGAAGTCGAAGGTACGAGAGCACGTGAAACAATGGCGATCAACTTGACCCGGTGCAGCGGCAGGAGCGTCATTATCGTAGTTGTGATGGCCGCCTTTGTTCATTTCTGTGCGGGGTTTGGAGAGGATAGACTGAATGAGGGAAACTCGAAGATCCCGGGAGAAACTACATGACAACGAACTTGTTTTTTCACATCTTCATTGGACAAGATCCTGTTTCACTGTGATGGAAAGAAACTTGAAGTCTGCTGTAAATACCATAGGGCGCATGGCGCATTCCACCCATACGTCCACGGCTTTCTGGCCCATAGGAACTGCTTGGAGCTTCATTGTAGTTGCTGGAACCACCGCGCATTTGACCTTCTGGAAGTGGTTATATTTAATTTGAATAGGAAACCGAGGAGTGAAGGACCCGACACGGGGAATGCGTGCCTAGTTGGATTGTGCCTAAAGGGGTTTATGTGGGATTCAAAAAATGGAAGGATGCGAGCATGCCTCAGACATACGAAACGAGGATGTCTACCCGAATCAGTGCAATTCCTCACTTCCTTCTTCATCTTGTTCTTCTTTCTCCCATGATCTTCTATTTTATTGTAAATCCGAATTAGTTTCTGAAACCCGAACACTATTTATTCTTGCATAGAAAATATAGGCTAAAAGTTGTAAACCCAGGTGGTAAGTGATCTGTTGATATCCTTGTGATGAAACCCGAATACTTACAAAGAATGTTGCATAAATCCAAACTGAAACCCAAATAATACAAAGAATCAGTACTCATGTCCTTCCACAACAGGGATTCCAAAGCGGTAGCGATTTGATCATCACTCGCTCCAGCAGATCGCATACTGTCTTCGAGGCGACGAAGCATCATCAACTTTTCAATCTTCTCATCCTTCGCGGCTGGCGGAGCGGAGTGTTGGCGAGAGTGCGCACCGCCTGTGTGGTATCAAGGGATGTTGAGCCAGATGATAGACATCTTCCCAAATAGAGAATTGTATAAGGACAACTTCCCAGATCGATAATCGGAACCAACTTTTACTATATTACTGCGGCATTAATGAATATTAAGATGAAATTATGTCCGTCCACTCCGAATCAACAAAAGCAACAGGATCAGAAGAATTACCCTTCCCAAAGTCCGAGGTACCCTTTCCAAAGTCCAGATTTTGCCAACTTCTCGATGGCCATCCACCTTTGCCGCCTCCTTGCATACCCGAAAAATTTTCGCTGGCGCTGGGCCTGAGATTAGTGGAGAAACAATTTAAGCAAACGAAATTCCAGATGCTTAATACAGAACAGCCATTGCATGAAGATACTAGACACAACTACGTGCATATTACACAATCAATCAACATTCTCATTATCAGAACTCCCAATAGAAGAACCTCTATTCTAAAGTCCTCCTCGAAAAAACTGAGTACAATCCCAAAGCATCCCACATCGAATCGAGAGTGGAAGAACCGGATGCAGAGCCATCGAAGGAGGACGTTTTAGATGGTGTTGTCCAGTCGGTGTTGAAGATGTCGGAGATGTCATCTCGATTGCCTCCACCACCCATTATGTTCGACAAACTCGTGCTTCCCGACATGCCACCCATATTGGTAGACGAGGACTGGTTGTTGTGGTCCTTAGAGAGACGGGGGACAGAGAGGGATTTTCGATCTCGAAGAAATCGAAAATTGCTAGAGATGATCAGCAGGGTAGTGGTCCCTAGTTAGGAATGAGAAACTAGAGCGAGCTGGATATTTTGTTTCACCAAGAACTACATACAACTTCACTCAGATAGCCAAAAGTCAGATTCATCAAAGTCATAATGTTGTTGTTCCCCCCGCCACGTGCTGAGAGCAACTGGTGCTTTTCTTGGAGATCCTTGAGGCTGAAACCTCCGCCAAAGAGCAACTCCTCAAGGCTAGATGGGGCACCCTTGTCCCCACCTAAAAGGTTTGCTGTCCATGCGTCCATCTTTTTCTAGTTCTGTAGTAGAGTCAAAATAGGTATTGATTCAACTTTAATAGCAGTCCAACTCCAACAGTGCGTCAATGATCTTCGAAATAGAAACTTTATTAGGCAAAATTCAAATCTGAGTGGTTGTACAACATTCAAATTCTAGCGTTCGTTCTTCACAACACTACAAGTGGTGCATTGAAAAGAGTAGTTCGTTGTAAGTAAGTTTGAGCAAGAAGCAGTTTGTGTTTGATGAGGGAATAATAGAAAATGCAAACGTTAATCTTAATCTTTTATATAAAGGATCAATTTGAGAAGAGCATGCAAGGGACGAATTCTAGGGTCCCAAAAAAGTAGAAAGCCTGTTCGTGTCATGTGTGCGTCTCTACTGAGATGAAACAGTTCCTGGTGCGTTCGATAGAATGGCAGAGGAAGTGTGAACCCTATTAAGGGGATAAACAAAACCAATAACGGAAACCTGTTCATTCATCGCAATTCGGATCTAAAGACCTACTTATTCCTGTCTCCTACTCCTGTCTACCTAGGACAGTAGAATAGAGCGAATAGAACCAAAAAAAAGTCAAAACAAAAAGGGCAACAAAAAAAGGTTTGCTTGTTGCTTGGTATGGGCCCAATTTTTTCAACTCACTCTCGTAGCTTGCGAGGTTCTTATCCTTTTTTCTCTCTCACTGTTTTCCCTGCTTTTGAAACTTTCCTTTTCCAAACTTGCACATTTTTTGTACCACATGACCACGAGAATAGGGGGGGGAGGACCTTCCATAAAACCGATCGTTTTGGACACACTGTGAGAAAGTTCCTATCATCAAGAACAACGCATGACCGCTAATCAGCAGTCTTGCATAAAAGTTTCAGTTTCATTAGACCCTATGGTCTATCATTTTTACACTTCCCTGGTAAGTTTGGTGTTTCAGCATCGTTCCCAAGAATGGAATCGATGCGCTGACTATGAATGATGCGTCTCAGGAGAAGAACTTGCTAGAACTTATCAAACTTGAACAGTATCAGTATTGGTAGAACCATGAAAAGCGCCATGAGAAGTCTTACAACAGCACTTCTCAACAGGCATCCCCTCCTTCCACTTGACGACCCCACGACCTGCGCGTAGTGCCTCGATCAGCCTTTGCATTAGAGACGAATAGGGAGGTTTAGGTTAATAATGAGAAGCTTGAACAAGTTAGCAAGACATGAAATACTTACCATTCGGCATAACTCTACTGGTGTCTGTCGAGTCTTGTGTCCCTGCTCGAGGCCCTGTTCAGTGCCAGTATCCTCAGAAGCTGCCTTGCTCCATCTATCAGCAAATTCCATACGCGGAAAGTCGCGCCCTCCATACTTTTCTTCATATTGCGACATGTAGCCAATCTTGCAGCCCCAGTACCATAACTGGAAACCACACACGCGTAGGATGTGGCCGACTGTTTTCGATGCGATGTGGCGGAAGTTAGGCGGAATGATGATCAGAATCAATACGATCAACCTTATTGTCACTATCGCTATCCATCGTTTCTGCCCTAAATAGTAATAAGATGAACCTAGGACTTTCTAAGACCAGTATTTCTATGGAGTGAGAATGTAGTGAGGACTTCCATCAAGTCTCTGAGGCGGCGGGCGTCAAACTTCGTGGCTTTTGCCCTAAATATTAGTAACTAATATGCGAACATCATCATAAATTAATAGTAATCATATGAGAACTTCAGCATCATTACTTTTAGACCCATAGTACCTCGTATAGTCGTCATAGTACAATCCCCCATAACTAAGCTCCTATGATCGCGCTTCAGTGTGCACATGCTGTAGTCGTGGTAAGCGCCATTTCCCACTGCGAATCCTGCACAGAGTGCTACCAATTCTTCACCTTCCCAGAACTCAAAGACGCATTGGTGAACGGGCGGCGCGTTTGGTCCAGGAACAGTCGCTTCGAGCTCAGACAGCGTTTTCAACAGCTCTTCCGTTAGCCAGGTTTTACTCGGCGCTGTGGTCTTCTCCTTTTCGTCCTTAGGAGAACTAGTCTTTGGTTCCGGACTAGTACTGCTTTTTCTAGTAGTGCTGCTGTTTGCTGCTGCGGTAGAATTTGACTCTTCCTGGCTAGTCGCGCTGCTACCTCCTTCAACTGCCCCAGTGCCTCCTTGAGCGGGAGAAATTGTAGTTACTCTTGGTATGTCGATTTTCTCGTTTTCATGGTAGGTCTGCAATAACCTTAGGGAAGCCTCGAAGTCGCGATTTATTGTGATCCGCAGGTCCTTCGCATATCGCCGCACGTTTTTCCCGCTCGGGGATGAAAGTGGTAACGGACAAGAGAAGAAAATTCAAAACTAACGAGATCGTTTAGAACTACTTCTTACACTTTTAAAAAGCATAGAAATACTTAGAAGCATACTTAAGCTAGAGTAGGACAGACTCAGATAAGTATTTAGGCCTCATCAAATCTCCTACATACATTCCAGGTCGCAGGCGTAGTGGCGTTCAGGTCGATGCAGAAACGCTTTTCCGGGTTTATGATGAAGCAAAACGGATGCGGCAGAAACGTAGGCAGCGTAAAACACCCAACAGCGAACAACTCCAAAAGCAGCTCCCGATCCTGCTCTAGAAACAGCAAGTAGAGGAAGTCTCCCTTTACACGGTGTACCCAATTCGCCAGGCAACCACCGGCACGTAGAATGCCTTTTGCGTGCTTCTTGACGAAGTCTGCAAGTTTCCTTTTGCTTGATGAAAATGCGGACGATGACGATGAAGATGACGTGCATGCTGCAGTTGTCAATACGTTTGTGGGCAAGCCTTCTTGTTCGAAGAATGCCTGCACTATTAGAGTCTGCTAGGTTGCATCTCGGCCCCCTCATCTTGACCCCTGGCACCTTGTATTTCATGAGAATACAAGGGAAAAGGGTACCAAGATGCCGAGAAAAATGGACACTAAATGTTGACCTTAATACTAGTTGTTTCATCGCTCCCCCTTTGTCTCTATCAGTTTCTTCCTCTGCGCAGCTGGCATACTCAGCCCCTGGCTTTGGAAACCCGTTTGCGAAAGCTAGATAGGCAGAAAGTATCTCTTCAGATGTTATATTGATCGCGGTCTTAGCGTCAGTCGTTTTCGCTCCTTTGCAGCCCTTCTTACTGTCTTGCTCAGGAGATGAGGTACACTCATTATTCGGAGTGGTCTTGTTCGTCTTGCTCTTCTCAGCTTTCGCTTGCGCTTTGCGATAAGCCAAAGCAAACCGCTTGTAGGAACAATGCTCCGGACCAACGTATAGTTTGTACGTTAATAAAGGCAGTAAAGGAAGCCACCTAGTGACCTGTTCTCCAGGAAACACAGCGTTGGGTTCGATCCTTCTATCATCACAATGTGTCTTGGTGCGGACGCTGAGACAGTATTCTCGTTCGCGTGGACTTCTATTTGTAGGTGGATAGACGGAGTCAGCGGTGGCCGTTGTTTCTTCATTCTTCAGATAATAGTCCTCACTTTTAAACCTTTTGGATGAGGAACTAGAGGATGCAGCACTACTTGAGGCGGACGAGCTTGAAGACGACGCCGCATCAAATGCGCACGTTGTGCCTACCGGCGAGTCTGCCACAGGAGTTTTCGACACACCTTCATCTAGTAGTGCAGAACCAGCAGGCTTCTCTCCTTCCTCTACAGCACTGACAAAAGCCATACTAGTTGGCTTCTCTGCCTCCTCTTCCGTGGCACTCGTGAAAGGCAGCTCATCTGTCGCCGTGACAAAACCCTCATCAGTCCCTTGATAGTACTTATCCACTATTACCCTGAGCACGAAGTCGGTGTCTGAAGACAGACCGTAAAATTCCACGAGATAATCACGTTTGATGCTGTTCTTCTCGTTGTCATCGTCGTCATCCTTCACTCCTACCGTATGGCCTCCATCCTCAAAATGTATCACCTGCTCGACTTGTTCCAGCTTTGTCTTCCGTTTGTCTAGCAGTTCAATGCGACAGACTGACCCGGGAATGCCCGCTTCCCAGAAGCAGATAAGCGAACTAACACTCACTTCCCAAGAACTAGGAAGAATTGCGGCCGATGAAGTGCAAGCTTCTGGTACTGCTAGTGCTGTCGCAGTCGTAGAAGGAGCTGCTAAGAAGGAATTGGCAGGAGTAGCGTCGTCTGAGACAGCGCGAGCGCCGTCTGAGACAACGGCTCCCTCGCCTGCGACTCTTCCTTCTCCGGACCCCTCGCCTGAAACAACGGCTCCCTCGCCTGCGACTGTTCCTTCTCCGGACACGGCTTCTTCCCCATTTTCAGCCTTTTCCGGGCTTCCCTTTGCGGTGGTGGAAGGCCCCGCTCGCGGTGAACCACTCATCTTGGTAACCGCTTTCGCAAGGATGATAACGTCATTTTTTTGGCCAAATTTTGTCTTGCAGCGACAGGTGTGAGAGATTAACAAATCCAAAATAAAATGGAATGTCGAAATAAACCAAGAAATGAAAGTACTAGAACTTCTAGTTCTAAATCAACAAAATCAGAAGCCTGTAGAATCTCTTGGAGATAGTCTTCACTCACATCGTCCTCTGACTGAAATGACACGTACGTATCACACTTTTACCGACCTTTCTCGTCTTCACAAGCTTCATCCTAGAACTCTGCTGGTGCTGCGTTCTGAAGTCTTTATTAACACAGGTAGTTTGACGCCGCCATAGACACCAACCGTGAGCACCATCTAAGTGCCACTAAAACTTCAATTTCATAGCACATCAAGCATAGTAGACAAAGCATAAGCAGAGTTTGATTGTCGATTTCTTTGTTCACGTTGAGTCACTTGGTACTGTAATCAGTCTGTGAGATTCAAAAGTTCCGGATATTCCGTATGCGTATATTTCGTAGAAGCGTAAAACCGCCGCGATTATCTACCTACTATGCCGAAAAAGGACGAAATTTGTATACCCTATCTTTTTTTTAGTTTTTTGATTTTTTTATGCGTGTGGTCTCGAAATCGAATTGGATGAATGGAGTATGCTCGCTAATTCCATTTCCTAGTTCGTGGCAAGTTGCGGAACTTCAAATGTGCAACCTGTTGAAGTCCGTTCACGCGTGTTTTTGCTTTTTTTGGTTTACAACTCTCAGAGAATGAAAAGAAAGAACGAATCTAAGCTACGTACCGACACAATTCCTCCCCTTAGATTTTAGAGGTATCCAATCATGGGCCTTCGCAACGCTTTTTCACTTTCGTTTTCCTTACGTAGAATCAGTAGTGTGAGTTATTTTTTTGGAGCCGTGTTCAACGAAAACATTCATACATTGGTGGTTTTAAAAAATATGTGATTAAGTAGATGTTTCATCGATGACTCCTAATGCTTATGCATCATACTGCATTTGATTATTCATTTGTCTTTGTAATCGTATGTCTACTCCCCCCGGCGTTATCTTCGTTCCTTGATGTTCTGTCGCGTAGAAATTAAGTCTAAAAGCTCAAAGTCTAACATAGTAACTCTCACTACCATAGGTGACCAGTCTGCCATGCTTTTTAAGAGCGTTTAATCCACTATTCTGCTGCTGCACTTCGTTTCAGCACTCTGAATAACGAAACGAAGCTTCTGTATGTATTGTGATGCCCCCCAGGTATGCGCCGGCCCTTCTTGCAGTACTACCATGTCGTCTTTTTATTCTACTTTTGAGTTTTCGTATAATATCGTCTGGGAAGTTACTTCGTAGTTTGGGTTTCTTTGAAGGTTAGGTTAGGTTGGGGCCTACCATCCGATGTGACAGACTTTAACGGCTGCTGAAGAGCCTTCAAGTCTCTCCTAGATGTAGTTCTACGATGCGTAGTTCGATGCTGCTCAACTATGCTGCTCAAGGATGCTGTTCAGAGTATAACGAAGATTCTTCGATGATAGTCCTAGCGTAATAACCTCCTCCACTCAACAACATCATATTCCTATTCCCGTGCAGTATAATGTTGAAAAGTCTTGGCTGTAGTTGGTTCATCAAATGCAATAGGTATCGTGAAAATATGCTTATCAGATGAGAGTAATCCAGATGTTCATTTTCAACAGTTATCGTAGTATGCTGATATGTAAATGAGTGTCCAATAATATCTATGTCCGTATCTCCTACTTCTTTCCAAACCTTTGTTGTAACATCATAAGTAACGACGTATAGTTTGTTAGCGTGCATGGACCAGAATAAGGATTAATTGAGAGTTGTAAGTGTAGCTGTAGCAATTCGTTCATATGGCAATTTCAATGACGTAAATATTCGTTAGTGTTTGTTCTTTCCATCTAAGTCTCTACCTAGTAGTATTTTTTTCCTATACAACCGCACAACATACTTCATTGTTTCATGTACAATCGCACAAGAACTTCTACTTTCTCTATGGCAATACTGGTGGCATTTGAGGTGGGGAGAATTGCTGCGAGAGCTGCTGTGAAGCGGGTGTCACAACGCAGCTCGACGCATCCGTTCGCAGCGGCTGCATGGTAGCCCAGGGACAAAGCACGCTGCTATCAAACGATGAAGGCAAAACGAAACTCTGCTCAGTGACGCTCGACAAAGGAAGCGTATTTGCCATTCCGTTGTGTGGTGATGCTAAGGGTGCTGGCGAGGGTATTGAAGGCATCGATACTGGAGGCAATTGATTCGGCGTACAAGAACTAGAGGGTTGCGTAGGAGCCAATCCCAATGGTGTCCCGAACGTACTAAATGATGAGAAACAACTGGTTGTACTGCTACTAGAAGGCGGTGGCGCGAGAAATTTTGGCGGAGAACTCGGCATCACAATGCTTGTTGGTGTAAGAGAGTCGAAATTCGTGAAAGGCGGTAGTGGTGGCACCTGCGGTAAATCTACTGGCTGACTCCGTATGGTTGTAGAAGACGACGCAGAGTTGCAAGGTTCTTGTTCAGAACATTGCCCTGACCCTGAGTTGTATTGACCTTGACCTTGTTCTACCTCAACATAAGTGCCCACGCCTGCTCCGCCAAGTACTTCTTTCTCTTTCCTCGTCGTGTCTGAAGATGCGGTTGAAGAGGCTCCCGATCGGCCTGCTGCCTCTTTACGATGCCCGCCCTCCACCGCTTCTGGAGCGGGTAGGATCAACTTCGAGGTTTGCTTCGAACTGCTTTCGTCTCTACCACGTCCCTCAACTACTCCAGTTGCTGATCCAGGTGCGCTGGATCCCTTACTGTTGGTGCGTGACCGTGATTTCTTTGACTTGCCTTTTTTACCACCATCTTGATTGTTGTGGTTGCCACCGTTCTGAGAAGCGTTTTGATTGTTGTTGTTGTTGTTCCACGTAGAAGTGCCCCCGTTCGGATTGTTGTTGTTCCTCCCTATAGAAGAAGAAGAAGTGCGCGAAGGGCCTTGCTGTGATGGCACTTGGACCGGTTCGTTGCTATCAGTTTCAGCGAGTTTGTCCCACCCACTAAGCTCCCAATAATTGGGACCACTATTCATGACCGCGCTGAGCAGTTCATTCGTTGTTGATGATGGTGCTCCTGACGCTGCGCCACTCGTCATTGCACTGTTCGGAGGAGGAATGATGCCCATCCCTGTTATATTGTTGCCACAAAACATATTAGACGTACTAGAAGATGATGAAAAAGAAGAAAGCGGTATAAGGCCACCAAAAGTCGACGATACTCCGTTGCCGACAGATCCTGGTGGAAGCCCTCCATGTATATTGCTATTCACCCCCAGCGTCGCCATATCCAGCAATTGCCCTTGTTCAAGCGGATTCAAGCTACTAAAAGAGCTCATTCCAACACTGAAACCTCCAACCGGACCTGCTGATCCTGGCGTCGTAGTACCTCCAAACAAGTTCCCTCCAAGCACACCGCTACCCATAGGATTCGACAACAAACTTCCCATTCCCATGCCTCCCATTGAGGAGAGGGGATTAGGCACAACCCCTCCTCCCATTGGAGGCAGACTACTAGATGAATTCAGCGGAAAAGATCCCAGGGATGTCGGAGCTCCAGTCGTAGCGCCAGTGAAAGGCGGCAGAGGATTCGCGGCCACACTCGATGACAAAAGTGAAGACAAGCTGTTACCTTGCAGTAGGTCATGCGTCCCACTAGTACCACTCTTTTGGCTTGCGGCTGTTTTGCTAGCTGAGTTGCTACTAGTGCTCTTCTTACTGAGATGATCAGAAGTCTTACTTTTTGAAGATGATGGCTGTTGTTTCTCGCTTCCTCCAGCAGCTGAAGAAGCAGCGGCCGCCGCAGCAACTGTTGGCGGTGCCGAGATCTGCTCGATGGCCGCTTGCTGCCGCAAGATTTGATCCTGTTGGGCTAGCAAGAGGTAGGTCAACAGGTTCATGTTGGTCTGAGCTGCTTTCGCATGATCTTCCAATGCCTTTTGGAGGTCGGCTGCTGTGCGTCCTTCCAGCGCCACCAAGTTATGCTCAGGCATTGACTCCACATCTTCTACAGGATGAGTGCTTTGGTTTTCTACGGCATGAGCATCATGATCCATCTTGTTCCCCGAAGAAGAGGAAGAAGATCCTAGTGCCCACAAGTTGAAGTCTCCACCTTTGCAACTACTCATTCCCTTTTTTCCGCTGCTGAAAAAACCATCTGAACAGAACTTACCTCCACCTTTTCCAAGTGAGAAATCACCTTTCCAGAAGCCTTTCTTTCCCTTGCTAAACAAGCTGCCTTTTCCACCTTTGTTCGACTTAGAAAAGGTTCCTTTAGAGAACGGCGGGTCGTCATTATAGCCTTTTTGCCATGGTGAATATCCGAGACCTGGAGGCGGTCTCCTCAATCCACCTTTTCCACCTTGATGTCCGCCATGATAGCTCTGACTCAGCATCCTGTGGTCTCCATCATTCACGCTACTGAACCCGTTGCGTCCGTACAAAGAGACTGGCGTGTTCTCACCTCCTCTAAGACTCAAAGAACCTAGTTGCTGTTCCCTTTCGATCATGGTTTGGACTGAGTCTTCAGCCGGTGTTCCTAGCATCAGGGACGCGAGAGCAGAACCGATGTCACCTCCAGCTGCTTCGTTTTCGGCTATATCCATCATGTCGGTTTTCATCTGACGTGCTTTTTTCCTCCTCCTGTTCTTTTTCATCGCCACACGACTGGAGGACTCGCTGTGGACAGAGACTTGAAGTCCTGGAGCGGAGGCGCTTAGGAGGACAGCTTCGACTGCAGCAGGGATCGGAGATGGCTGGTTCTTCAGTGCTTTGCCTGTTGCTTGAGTGTCTGAGTCCTTTGACTGCGGTTCTGTCTCAGAAGATGCTGAGTGAGGTTTGGCAAAATGATGAACATGACGGATAGTGCGCTTTTTATCCGCGAATGAAGGGCCAGTGCCTTCGGCTAAAATATGCGCAGGAAGAGCGCGCCTAATCTTTTCCAAGACTACCGCGGCGGCAGCTGCTTTCTTCTGGGCAACCTTCCCACGTGCTTTTTGGAGTTCTGCGACTCGATTCGCATAGAACAAGTTCGTTCGTGCCTTCTCCTCCTTCTTGGCAACACCTTGTGCTGCTAGTTGTTGACATTTGGAATCCAGTTTTTGTTGTCCTTGCTCCTTCTCGGGTTGTTCTTGCTGAGCTTCCTGGGACCACTCCATTTTCTTGGCTTTGCTCTTCCTCGTCTTCTTAGTTGCAAAAATTGCATTCTTGGCAGTATTCGTACGAACATCTGCAGTTTCATCATCAACATTCTTCGTAGCTACTTCCTTGGTTTCAGCAGCGGAGGCTGTAGCGGCAGGTGCTTCGGTCCAGGTACTCACTCGTTTCTCTCCAGCTTCAACCTTACTAGCTGTATCAGCAGCAGCAGTAGGCCTCTTTAGTACTGTAACTTGCTTCTCCACCTTGTTGTCAGCACTCGTCCCACTAGTTCTTTCCTCTACCAAGTTGTTGTTGTTGTTCGCACTTCTAGACGTCGTGTCTTCTCCATCTTTCGGAGTGACAGGTTCGTAAGATTTTGCTGTGAAGCCTTTACCCTTGTATGCACTGGTTGACCTCAGTTTTGGCGCTTCAGGCTTTGGAACTCCTCTATTAGGTTGTTCACCTTCTCCCGCGACCGCCTCTACTGTGGTAACAGGACCACTGGAGCCACTCTTTAAAGCACTTCTAGCAGCCTTCTTCCCCGTGGGTGCGCGCACCTCCACGATAGCAACGGCGTTCGAGGTAACCGACGCGGCAGCAGCAGCTGTGTTCTTCTTCGACGTTAGAGCAGAAGTGGTCTTCTTCGACGCAGGAGTAGCGTCCTTCTTAGATGCAGGTTCACTGTTCTTCGACGCAGGAGTAGGGTCTTTGGCGGCACGTTCACTGTTCTGCGACGCAGGAGTAGCGTCCTTCTTAGATGCAGGTTCACTGTTCTTCGACGCAGGAACAGCAGAGTCCCCGACTACCGCATCACTGTTCTTCGCCTGCGGTACAGTAGCCTTCGAAGTTGACTTACTCTTCTTCGATGGAGGAGGTACTTTCTGCGACCCATCCACATCAACATTCATATCCTTGTTCTTGCTTTCATCCACATCGTTCTCCTCTTGCTCAACTTTTAGTCCGAGACCCCCTACTGCGTGCATAGGTGAAATGCTTGGAATTGAATCTGCGAGGAGGCCAGACGCTGGCAGTGTCAGTGCAGCCGCATTGGATGTTGCGACGCTAGAAGTGGATGCAGTAACGGTGGTGCCCGTCTTCGATGTAGTTCTTGTCCCCGTCTTTGATGTAGTGCCGACTGTATTATTTGTAGTACTAGATGAAAATGCACTAGTAGAAGTTGTTGTGTTTGTGTTAAACGCTCCAAGCTGCAGTGCTTCTGCATAGCTGAAAGCCCCAACTTGTTTTGGTGATGACCTTGACGACGCAACACTGGAAGAGCTGTTGGATCGCGTACTAACAGTTCCCGAACTCGCACTGTTGCCGTGGGTGAGAACGACTGGCCGCCTAGAAGCAGGACTGAAGATGGATCGATCAGATTGAACAACAACTTGGTCTTCATCGTCTTCCGAAGGTAGGAGTCTTTCCTTTGACTTTGTAGGAATGCCTTTTGATTTCTTAGAAGCAAGAGGAGAAGTAGAACCCGGAAAGCACGATGCACCGAACACGCCAGGATCCGCTTGTTGTTGTGCTTCCTTCTGCGGTTCTTGTGTCTGCTTTTGTGCCTCTTCTTGCTTTGGAGCAACGATTGGATTTTTACTCGTCTTCTCAGTAGTAGACGGTCGGTCCTTCCTCTCACTCCCCCGCCTCTTCTTACCGGAAGCAACGTGCCATGCTGACGATCCGTCGGATTTGGTAGTGCTAGTAAGATCCGTCGTGTTTTGCTCCTGAGGCTCGGAACCGCGGCTCGGAGGTTGCACCATCCTGAAGTTATCTCGTTCTCTAGTACTCAGTCGAAGGTGTCGGTGACGAGACTTTACATAAATTTATTTGTACTTTGTATCTACTTACTACAACAAGTAGCGACCAACTGGCTGCTGGCTTCCAGAACGAGGACAATAACTTGCTTACTTGAAGTACCTTCAAATTTCAGGTACTATGCCTAGACACCTCAATTGTCAATTAGTTAAAACCGCCCCAAGGCTGAAAATGGATGACGTTCCCAAATAGGTGCAAGTTGTTTTTCCGATGGGGATAGAAGAGGGGACCAAACACACAAACTAGCACATTGATTTGTCCATTGAGGCATTTACGTGCGGAGACGAATATGGATGTTGTAAAATAATGGAGGAGAGGAATACTGTTCAAGGATAAGATACCGATGTAGTCCATGAAGGAGGGGAATACTGTTCAAGGATAAGATACCGATGTAGTCAATGGAGGAGAGGAATACTGTTCAAGGATAAGATACCGATGTAGTCAATGCAATGCAGCAAAGGCATGAGGTTAATTTATCACAGAGGAATATGGAGAGTCAAATCATGAGAGGAGAATAAGTCGTGGTAAAAGTCGTATCACGAAAATTCCTGTTTCTTTAGTTTTATGGGAGTTGTTTAGGAAGATCAGTAGCGCAGGTCATGAGAATGGGGTTCTTCTTACTAGCCGGCTCATTAAAACAAATATGGAACAGATGCATGATGTTCTAGCACGGTGTAGGTATTCATAGCATAATACAGTCTAATCTTCACACGAGTATTACAAATTGCACTACAAGGAATCGAACTAACTCCGGCCTCAACTTGACATCGCTCAACAGAATCGGTCTCATTCAACAGATCTTTTTGTATCACTCAGTGATTTCATCTTGACCTCAACATGGTCCTCTCTCAACAGAACTTTCTCTAGACAGAAGTTGTTAATTGATTCACGATGACAAACGATATTTCATGCGCTTGCTCAAATACTAGCAGACAGAAAAGTTCTTCAGACAGAATGATCATTATGCGTACTGCGAGACAGACACCACAGGAAGTCATGCATGAGCTACTTCCTGCCTTTGCGTTTCCGAACATACTAATGTGATTCTTTCTTTTAGAATTTCGAAAAAAAGCGGTCTATTATTAACAAGATACATTTACAACAGTCATGTCGATCGCAAGTGTTTATCTGCATGTGGCGGCATTTGATGACACAAATTTGGATGCCATTTCTTATGGTTCTTAGTGTAGAAACTCTCCTCTCCTGCCGTACGAAGTTTTCCATAAGGACATTTGATGCGTATCCTTTCTGGCACAAAAATGACACCATCTCCCGCCCAAGAACCAGTAGCAGTACTACGTAGTCCTTGGCGTTGACACTCTTGCAGATGCGCATGTTGGCCCATCCTCGCATAAAGACCCGCCATCAGGGCACGAATCGGTGTACACGTTTGTAGTTTTAGCAATGCTGGGTTTCTGTAGACGTTGCCGATGCGACCCATCCCGCTTTCTCGACTAAGCAGCGCATTTCCGAAGCGAGCACCGCCGGAGGGGGGTGTTAGGGGAGTAGTAGCACTAAATTGTCTGGATCTGGAAGACGTATATGTTATCTGGAGGTCAAAAGAGACGTATACACTAAGTGTACAACTAGGCGTAACTGAGTGCAATTTGCTTTCAGCAAGCCTTACCTTGTTTTTTTTTGTATCGCGAGCGAGTTCCGTGAAGAACCTGCCTAGTACATATTTTCCGATTTCAAGTGATTACAACTTTTTCGATTTCAACATCATAACTTCAAGTACCAAACTTTACTATTGCCGCACAGCGCCAGACGGTCTTCCTCGCTCCGGAAGTAGTTCCAACGTGCGTCCCTTAGTCTCGTAAAAGACAAAGGAACAACTTCTTTCTTGTCTAGAGCAGCACGGATCAGAGCGAATTTCTCGTCTTCAGTACCTGGCTCGTCTGGTATCCAGTGCAAGTCGCTGGGCTTCTCCTTGGCAGCCTTCGCTTGTTCCGCATTCCGCCACAGAGGAACAAACAATTTTTGCTCCTGCTTCTCCTTGTCGACAGGCTTTTTCTCTACCTCCTTCATCGGCACATTATGCTGCAACAGGGAGAAATTGATCAACCTCTCGGCTTCTTCCACTGCAGGGTTAAGAATATCACGGTAATACGAATTCAAAGCTGGTAGAGAAGCCCCTGCTAGCGCAGCGGCTGGGACAACTAAGTAGCCCTGTCGATGCAGTCGGTGGAACCACGAATCGAATTGTGAAAACCACGATACGTCGTCGTGAACTTTCTCTCCCTTCAAAGCAGCAATAGCGGTTGATGGCATGGGTGGAAGATTGGCAGTGGATGAAGTCGGTAGTCCTCCGGCTCTAAATCTGTAATACGATGAAGTCGGTAGTTCTTCTCCTTGTTTTCCTCCTCCGCCTCCTCCTTTTCCTGCTTTAAATCTGTAATACGCCATCTCCACGTCAGCCCCGCTCCGATTCGCGCCGCTGCCTACATCTGCTATACTGCTCTCGGCCCCAAAGTGTTGAGCGTAGTTGCTCACGAGTGCCTTGCACAGCTGGTCCACTGCCCATTCCCGGCGTGCATCTAAGGGTGTTATCTCACCACCATGTCGGAGTTGAGTAAAAGGAGCTACAGCCCGTTTCTTAGTCGGGGTAGCGGTTCCATTCGGTTGTGATGCTTGTGACCCTTGTGTTCCTAGAGGAGCTTCATGTCCCATTCCCACTCCAAATTCCTCTCTAACCAGACTTCGCAATAACTCCTTTGGTACGTAATCGATATGCTGAACGCAGGTTGGTCCCTCCCTAACTGAGACGTTGCCATGAAAATTTGTATAGAGTACTACATCTCCGCGCTTAGCTAGAGGCGTGATCCAACGAAGCTCGACCCTAGACGCGTCTATAGGAAGCGGAAAACGGGTATTCAAATCTTCATCAGTTGCTAGGTCACGAATGGCTTTTTGGTAGGCTTCGGAGGTCGGAGTTTCCTTGCTATTCTTCTGATTCTTCTGTCCTCCTTTGCTATTTTGGGACTCCGTATCTGCGTCGATGTTGTTTTTCCCTATGACCGTTTTACGTTCCCCCAATAACATGTTGATCGCACGTTCTGCCTCGATCAAACGACCTGTCTCTGGATGACATTTGAACAACTTTTTTTGCTCGCACATCATCGGGATTTTGTTGTATGCTTGCGCAGGAATCTTGTATTCTGAAGGACCTGCACGACCTGGATCCTGTAGAATCATCAACCACGCAAACAGCTGGTCCATGCAATGTGAACCCGTAGCTTCATCATGCTTGACTGGAAGTGTCTCTTGCTCTTTAGGGGATGAATCTCTAAAAGCCTTCCCCTCTAGGACGTACAATCCTGTAGGCTGTGGAGGCCCCTCACCCGCGAGAGGACCCGAGAGGAATACTTGCGCTTGGATTCTCTCATGATAGCCGCTGCGTCGTCCCAAGCACCGTCGAAACACGGCTTCCGGAGAGCGTGCGAGTTCGCCACTTAGTAGAGCATCGAGGTCGAAGACCCCTTGTTGTTCGACATTGGATTTTCTTTTGCTGGGACTGCTTCCGGGTGTCACTCTTTTTCCTCCTTGCACAGCAAGTGTTGATGAAAAAGATTGCTGCTTCATATTGACTGCTGCTGGCGACGATGAAGAAAATGAAGAGCCCGCAACAGCACGTGCTTTATCTTGCACTACAGCAGCTGCAGAAGCAGAAGACTGCTTCACACTCGTCAGTCCTGATCGTTCCACTGCAGGAGCGGACTTGCTCACCATGCTTGCTTTCGACGACTTCGTCGACACAGGTACACTAGCCGTTGTCCTCCTCTCTTTTGACACATCCAACACCCATCCTGATGCACTCGAAGACGCTCCACATGACGCTGCTGACGATCCTGAACCTGAAGCTGCGACTTTCTCAGTCAGCAACTTCAGTTTTGCTCGTTCCAGTTTGTCACGAGCAAACTCCCGATTCATTGATGAGTACACAGGCACTGCGGTTAGACCACGTTTCAGGTGGATGAAGTTCGGTCCGGAAGATGCTGATGAGCTCGAAGACCCGTTCAAGAGCTTCGGACCAGTAGCTGTGCTGAAATCTTCTCGGATACTTACTTTGCCACCATAGGAACTGGAAGATGCATCGAAACGGTACGAGGCAGCTTGTCCAGTTTGCGATTTCGACACTTCTTCTTGTGTTGTAACTCCAGCGCCAGCTGTATTGTCGATCTTGCGCGTCTGGGTTGCTGGCTCGCAGGTTGCAGTTTCGGTACTGCCGTCATCTGGCTTGCCATTTCCGGCAGACCGCTTGAGCGAACTACTGGCGCTCATTTTGTTGTTGTTGTTCAACATTCGAATTTTCTAAGGTGAACTAATAGAACGTAGCCAACTACAAATTAGACAATTGTAGTCGTTGCCCAGACATAGTAGACTGTTGACAGAGAGCTCTTCTTTAATACTAGAGTTCCCAAGAGTCGACGCTTGAAACACTACACTCTTTTCAACTTCATTTTCGCTTGCCAATTTCCAAAAATATTAAAAATTGCAATCACAGCCATCACGAAGACCGTTTGTTTTCAAAAAAAACGAAACTCTGAAGAGAAGATGTTTTACCCGTGTTTACGTTTAGGCCGGACAAAAATGTGGTTTCTATGGTTCTTTTTACCAGGTGCGTATAATGTGTGCTTTACGTTTTGCAGACGACAAATTTGTAAAAGTGCATGATATATGTTTCAAGTTGTAAACCCTAGTGGTAAGTGATCTTGTGCTCTACTTGTCCATCACGTTGACCTTCAGAGGAAGTTCCGGATAGTTCGCAAACGTCCTGTGTTGACTTTTTTTGGGGGTTGAGGAGTTATGTAAGTTTTGTATATGTTAGATTGCGTCAGATAACAATAAAAAGCCCAAAGGTCATCGACCAAGGACGGGGAAGGGTGGGGTAAGCCTAAGCTCTAAATAAGAGTATAAATACTAATGTAGTTTAAACTATCTATACAGGAGTTTTGTTCACACTTCTGCCACCTGAGGTCTCACTTTTGAGGGAAAGGGAAAAAAGGAGCAGGCAAAGAGGAGTAGACGTAAGAAGAGGGAAGGAACATAGAAGAGTGAGTGCTCGCACAAGCATGGGTACGGTGATGTCCAAAAAAGTGCATGTCTGTGTTGTCCCATGATGCTTCATTGCATCACCGTGTTATTCCACGATGCCCTTTGACATGTATGTCCAAAAATGTGTTCGTCTCAAAACGTCAAGCAATTGAATACTGGAGCGCTATTATGTTTGTAGTAGAACAACTAATCTTCTATGTACTTATAAGGATAAACTTGTGTGGTAGTTTGGATATCCCATCCAAAAATGTTATCCACCTAACTTTATTCCCGCAGCTTTCGGGTTTCATACAATAAGGACATGAAGATCACTTGTAAGACTTCTCAATCTTTAGTACGGCCTTATGGATGCATGAAGAGAGATGCGTTGCGAAAAACTTCAAAACAGCAGTTGTTACAGCACTTTAATAGATGTAGAGACCCTCCTGATGCATGCCCTAGAAAATCGGGATGAAGATAGATTCATTGTCATTGCGATTAATTGAGCTTGGTTTTATGACCCTTGCTATGGGGACTTCGCGAGAGTTACTAAAGCCTCTCTGACTAGATGATGAAAAACACTTGACTCGCAACTTTTGCTTCTCTTTTGTGGCGCAGTGAGTCTCAGTATCTAACCACGTTTGGATACAAATAACTGGTAAGCAGAGGATAAGAGCCGAGAAATGCAGGCAATGTTAGGTTAGCATTTACTTTAAGTATGAACACGTTGTGCTACACAATGTACAGTTATTGTCTGTACGGTAGCACCTAATCTAGACGTATTTACAACATCTACATACTTTCATCCCCCAATTTAGCTCGGTACTGCAGTTCCACGTCCACCACTATACGTATTACCACTCTGATGTTCTCCTGCGTTCACCACTATACGCATTACCACTCTGATGTTCTCCTGCTGTCGTAGGAGTATTGCCAGCTTGTTCTCGCGCACGTTGAAAACCTCGTTGTAGCCATAGGTTGCGGACCACACGCTCTGCTACGCTATCGTCCACTTTGTTGCGATAGTTAGATTCCTCCAAGCTGAGGGTGAAAAGTTTTGTTATACCATTATACTGTATACAACGAGAGAGACACAGATACATTTGATATCCAAAACACGACTTGATAAAAGGGGTAAAACGTGTACGGCTGTCGTATTGTCGGTCCTCGCTTAGTGCTCACGGAGACTTGATGATCTGCCATACCAAATCTAGAGCCTGAGCCGGAAAGAAGCCCAGATGTGCTCAAACGCCCACCACAGCTACGACTTTGACCACCTTTGCTCCTCGTACCAGACGCAGGTGTACTAGAATGAACCGCAGCTGTAGTCCTACTACTACCACCAGACGTAGTAGTCCCACCAGACGTGGGAGAAATAATCTCACTGGAGGAGGTGGACAGATTGAGATTCCCACTCCCGTTAGGCGTAGGAGGTCCACAGATGACGATTCTACGCGAGAGATGAATCGCACCACGAGAAGGAAACTTTAGGTCTGGTGGCGGCGTTGAGTTGCCTGCCCAAGTAACCCTGACATATCGCGGACCAAGCACCCTAGAGGCACGGACTCTAGGTCGCTGCCCTTTGGTTGAACCTGCTGTGGTCGTTGGTGGTATGATTAGAAGGAAGGAAGAGGTACAAAATCAATACCTTTTCCGAGATCAATCGATCCACGGATACCATTATCTACTGACTCGCAAATGCCGTAATGTCGGCAACCGTGCGCTCGCCGGCGGCGGCACTGAAGGAGTCACTCCCCATGGTCCGCAGGCTGGCAACAAGGACGAAGAAGCACCGTGATCGTGCTGCTGTGCTGCTAAAGAGGAGGCAGAAGTCGATAGATAGCAAGGAAGCTCGTCCGCATTCGCTAGTAAACTCGCAAGTGATCCTGGTTGCGGGATAAATGCTAGTAAGGGAGAGGGCGGAGATCGGTAGACTGGGGCCGGCGAATTCAACCTATTTGCTCCATCAACAAAGGTTTTAAAGGGGGAAGCTCCTGCTGCTTTTCCGTCAGGCGAAGTAGAACATGAATATGGTCCATGCTGCAGTTGTTCATCTCTAGACGAAGGATCATCGTGTTGGACCCGTTCCAAACTGCTAGTCCCACAATTGTTAGTTTCTTCAGAACTACCTGCCATCCCGTCGTCGCATGTCGTTGCACCCGTCATCGGCATGTTGTTCGTCCCAACATCTTCCCCAACTCTAGTACTGTTGCTTTCTCTAGTACTAAGGAGTAAAGTACTGGTGAACGGCATCTGTCCTGCTTGCTTTTGTTGCGCAAGATGCTGTTGCTGGCACTTTTTGACGATGCGACTGGAAATGGAGTCGTGGGATTTTTTTTTCGACTTGCCAGTGCCTTGCTCTGCGATTCCGGTTGCGGAGGAGGAGGACGATGATAGAGTAGAATGTCCAACAACTGCTGCTGAGGAAGACGCGGATAAAGCATTAGAAGGGCCAGACCTGGTACCTTGTTCTGAAGATGTCATCGGTGCCGGAGAAAGCGAAGACGTGGAAGAGAGTGCTTTTTTCTCCGCCACGCCCAATGCAAATACCATATTCGAACTAGATGCTGGAGGGTCGAATGACGGAGATGACGCAGCACGCAAAAAACCAGCAACATCGAGCAACTGCGTCTGCGTCACCAGAAACGTAAAGAAGATGCTCGATGAAAACAGCATGGTACATGTCCTCATTTTTGTGCTACCTTAATAATTGAAAGAGAGTCTTAGATAGTTGTGGTCCTCTCTTTACTCAATGTTCTCAGTCTCAAACAATGTTCAACACTGTTGAAACAAAACCTGTCGAATTCGCGAGGGGAAAGAATCGCTACAATATCATTAGAGATTTGTTTACTACACAACGAACTATCAAACTACTAGAACTTATCGTAGGGATGATATCACTCGTCAACACTCATAGAGACGTAGTTTTGAGAACAAGTCTCACCTTCCTAGTGGCTGGATGGGCTTCACCTACCGGTTCCCGATCATGACCGATTACAGTTAAGTACCAGTGTAGAACTCACATTTTGAGGCAAGTATCTGTAGGTGTCATCTTCATGGACAAGACTTACATTCGTCTCAACAATAGTTTCATTAGGGGATCACAGTCTAAAATCTTAGACAACAGCCTTCTTCGAAGCCGTGGTTACTAATGGCGTTTTTGATAAAACATTCTCCAAATAAGGAGGTTTTTCATCCGTACGTCGGAAGATGATCTTGGTTTTCCCAATCCGAAGTCCTTATTTGTGGAAGAAAATACAAATGATCACGTCTCCAAGTACATTCTACTTCCCCCTTTCTCAGTATCCATTAGTCCTTCAACATCTCTGAGTAGTTGCTCTATTCCGCCCTTACAACTGATGAAGCAACTCATCATCACTCTCTTCGCCATCGATTGCTGCATCATCCTCCATGTTCGTCGGGAATTCGGGTCGCTTCAACTCGTAATCAGTAGGCAAGAAGTCCATGGCGTACCCGCTGGACTCCTTCACGTAGAAAACGTTTTCTCCTACCGTGACGATGGTCTTGCTTGCTTTGCTCTGATCTTCGTCAGTACTGGCTTCATTTGGCTTCACAATTTGCACCTTTTCCGGATTGGTTGGAAAGACCAAGTAATGCGGCTGATGGATGTTTCCGAAAACGTCCAGGACCATGCCGATAATGACGCCTTCTTGCGTGCACAGCAAGGACTTCAAATCCAGTGCGCGACACTCCTTATCACCCTGCACTACGATCAAGTTGTCGACGAGCGAGAGCAATTTTCCTGCTGGAAGGATCGTGCTCTGAGACGGCTCTGCAGCGTCGGGTAAAGCACCTTTGAGTTTCTCTTGACCGCTGGCAACTATACTACTGCTGGAAGAGGTCGTATTAGAATTGCTTCCCTTTGCACCACTTGTTGTTGCGCTAGAAGTATTAGCAACATTGCCTCCAGGTGTTGAAGCTGACGAAGCTCCTGCTGCTGCGTCTGCTGCACTCAGGAAAGGATTGCTCGCACACGCTGCGCCACCACCAGCACCCATGTTAATGTCGTCTTCGTCGTCGGAGCATAGTTGGAGACCGTTCGCAGCACACACTTGGTCCAAATACTTCTTCACGTCGTCCTCGTCCTCGTCGTCGTCCGCTAAACCGTCAAAATCGACGGTGGATACTGTTCCAAGCAATACTCCAGTATTACCATCCTTCGAGGATTGCTTCATCTTCGCATCCTGCTTAACTTCGTCGTCATCTTCTTCCTCCTCTTCACCGGAAGAAACCTCTTCGTTTCCAGAAGGACCGCCACCACCGCCTCCGAGAGACAGCGCTCCAGCAGCAGATTGAGCATCCTTAGTGCGTTCTAACTCGAGTTTAGCGAACTGCATTGCAAAAGCGACATCGTCCACGTGCGTCTCGCCGTCGAAGACGGACGGATCAGACAGATCAACTGAAGTGGCCATCTTGAGGTAGATTCTTGGTAGACTACGATTAAATTGCCTAGAAAAAACGATCTAGGTTTACGCCGAGGGTAGAGTAGGAAGTGAGTAAAAACGGTGGAGATAAAGATAATCTGGGGTCGTAGAGTTGTAATGAGTGGGCTGTTTTGTAGATATTTCAAATAATGCTTTGCTTTGTTCTTTCAAGCTTTTTATTTCCACTAGGAATTATGACGCGATAATTTTGCGAATAGTTGTCTTGTACGTAGTTTTTTTGTCCACAACAAAGTAGTTTTCTTGATTCCAACCTGTGATGAGATTTGATTCAGGAAAAGGGGTTACCATTGCTGAGCTCTCTTAGATGACTTAGGATCGGACTCAATGAAGGATTCTGCTCAGACTCAATGAAGGAGCTGCAGAACCAAGATCAAGGATCAGGGTACTCGAGGATCAGAGGTTGATCACGTGATAATGCACTTCACAGCGGGATCGCATAGATCATGATCAGCATTCAGAATTCAATTGAGCAATTCTAGGGATCAGAATGTTTTGAAGGATCAAGGTAAAGCGCGACTTGCTGGATCTTCAACTGATGAAGAGGTGATCGCTCACTGGTGAGAGGATCTTTATCACGTCATGGTCATCGGGTTAGATCGTGTTTACTTTGTAAAGGATCTTCATCTTGCTAATTGTTTGTTTACGGATATGAAGAGTCAAAGGAATTTTCTACGGGCCCAGTTGCCCTTTAGCCTTTTAGAAGGGGCGACACGGTCAACACTCCTTTTCGGGAGAAAAAAACACCAATTCGTTTCATGCGTCGACACTTCATCACATCAAACCACGTGGAATATTCTCATCAATCATACCACTGCATATTTCTAGAAGAAAGCCTTTACAACTACACTGTAGATTCTTCTAAAATTTGAATGTAGCACTAGAAGAAGTATGCGCTCCTCCTGTACGCGCTCCTCCTGTAGAAAAAAGGAGACTCACACGTTGACCCTATGAATTTCAGAGGCGTAACTTCAGGATCAGTGACGTCTATGTCACCTTGAAAATAAGGCTTCAATAAGTAGTTGACAGCTTCACCAGCACATCCTGTTCCTCTATCTGCTGAGGAATTCTGCACACACTTGTAGACTTGATAACTACCTGGAAGTCGCTAGTTGAAAACCGTAGAAATCATATAATGTGGATTTGCTGCCTCTATCTTTGTTTTGTAGAAACAAGTGAAACTCAAACTCTAGTAGACAATCAAATTAGAAAAATGTTGATTCTACTAGTACCAGGTGCAGCGAAACTATCACTTACCCCCTTTCCCTCGACCAAATATCCTCTCCAACAGGCATCCTTCCTTTCGCCAAAACCTTCGCTATCGTCGCCATGTCTTCCTCCGCTATAAACGTATTCTTTCCCCCCTCTGCGACTTTCTTAACCGCAGGTCCGTCTCGTATTCTCCTCGTCTCCTCCAGGTGCCTAGGATCCCGAACGCCGATAATGACTGCGCCACCGTAGGCTTCGGTCTCTAACTTCTGCAAGACCCACCAAGCTGCGATCATGGCGATGGTTGCTCTGTCTTAGAAGACGTCGTGGGAAGTTGTCATGGTGGAAGCCAACAGCCTCAAGACGCCTCAACAAGACAGATAGATTAAGATTGATTGCTCTCCAACCCTAAACCCTAAACCCGACCCTAAACCCTAAACCCAACCCTAAATGTATCCAAGGTCATAATTTTCGTATTTCTTTGCCACCATATCCAAGGTCGACAGCAGTTCTTGAAACAGCTTCCAGTCACCCCAAGAATCCAGACTACTCCTATACATCTGCAGAGAAATTGTAGCACCACTGCGAAAACTGCGTTGAGACATCGGATCCTCTGGCATGTTGAGGTATTTCTCACTCAACCAGCCACCTGCAACGCTGCCAAAACAAGCGAGCCGTTAGATGAGGTGTCTACATCGGTTTAAGTAAGTACTACATGATCTTCGCAGGTACGGGTACACTACCACATCATAAAGAAGATATGATCCTCTTCCTGATGATCACGTGAGATAGCATTCTCGCCTGTCTAACCAGTCCGTGCGATTTAAAACTAACCCGAATTTTCGCAACAAAATCAAAACCGCAGCATAAAGTTTGAATTTCTGCTTCTTGGCAAGCTGCAGCATGCCGTTTTCCGCTCGTCGGTCAAGGAGAGAAAACTGCACCTGATTCACCGTTTGATAGACGTCCAGTATCCGGTGACGGTGAATCAGGTGCAGTTTTCTCTACTTGTTGTGATTGTACAAGACAACTATTCGCAAAATTATCGCGTCATAATTCCTAGTGGAAATAAAAAGCTTGAAAGAACAAAGCAAAGCATTATTCGAAAAAACTGCACCTGATTCACCGTCACCGGATACTGGACGTCTATCAACTGCTGCAGATGCTTTACATCGAAATTCGTCACAGCCAAATGGCGGATCTTTTGCTGCTGACATTAGACGTAGAAGATGCTTTTTGTGCTGATACATTTATAGGCATAGATAGTCCCCCTACAACTATAGCTATATTCTGATCGACTGAGAAGTTCATTCTCATGATCAGGACAAAGTCGTTAGGTTAGGTTAGGTGTGTGTCCACTAGATAAACCAGAAGACTTCAGTGGCTACTGAAGAGCCAAAAACACGACTACGACCTACAGCTGGTAGCGCTACACTACTTTCTACGTTTGACCATAACCTTGCAACCGCATCAATTCCTTCGCATGTGCTATGTGACCGCCATCGTCGAAGTCCCACCAATGAAACTGGACCAACTCCAGTGGAGGCAAATTTTCTGCATGCGTGCCCTTGATCTTGCTTTTTCAGGACTTAGAGGTTCATCTTGAAAGCTAATTTAGGAAAGAACTGAAAATGAGTATTTAGAGGACGAGAATTACGGTACTAGAGGAAGAGAATTACGGTACTAGAACATCCTTCAAGGTTGAGCTCACGGTTTTGAAAAATTATAATTGAGTCTGTGTCAGAGTCAGTCAATTAAAAGACCCAAGCTAGTAGGTAATCCATTGACTCCCATAACAAAAAGCGCTTTGCGACTCTGCGTATTAATGCGATCCGCGCTCTCCCTGATATTCGATGGGACGTACTTGGTGAAAACATGAAACGGAGCTACTGCACCTTCTCCTGTGCTGTTATTTTCGGTACCTGTCTTTTGTTGTTCGAGAACAGCATCCTCCAGTACAGCCCTCGCATGCCCAAGAAGTTCTTCGCTAGGTCCGTAGATGTCTGCGGTGTCGAAATAGTGGAAACCACTCTGCTGGTACCTCACAATCGTCTCCACCGCCTTTTCTGGGTTGCGATCCCGCTCCAGCAACTGCCAACAGCCGATGATCACACGCGGGAAAGAGGAGAAAAACTCCTCTGCAGACGACATTTTTGCCGTGCCTTCAGCGTCGATATCGTAAGAGGTAGTCGATGGGTCCTCTACTGACGAGGAGACTTGTTCTCCTGTTGCAGAGACCACACGACAAAAGGTGTTGTGATACAAAGTTGCACCAAGAAGGGGAAGCAACACGGGGAGGCGGGATATCAAAATTACATGTTGTATTGCAGAGAACCTGGAGAAAGATTGCGTTGATGAGAAAATGTGAGAAAATCTTGACATGATTCTCATTTGGAGTTTACAGCTCGTCTCCAAAAATTCACGCCAAAGTATTTATCGGCCACCACCTCCTAGAACCGCTATTGACCCAGAACAAGACGTAAATCAAGATGTATCGTTTGGAAACAACAACATGGCGGTTTTCTCCTCGTAATCTCGGTGGTATCATGATTCATGCTGAGTCACGAACACGACTTCATCATTCTGACGTTCGTTTTTTTTACAGTCGCGGTCAAGAAACTCTACAATCAATACTTAAGTCTCAACGGCGCATTGGCGATGCGCTTGTCGAAATGTCCTTCTTGAAAAAATTGTTCTCTGCTCAGCTATGTTGAATGGACATTGAGATAATGGACCTCGGTGGGTGCCCTACACCCCCTCATTAGATGTGCGTATGCGTTTACGAAGAAAAAGATGGAAAATAAGTACTTACAGTAACTGAACGTCGTAAAAGTAGTGAATATCTTCATCCCACACAGCAGTTGAACCTTATCACGTCTCCGCGCGATAACACTTATCCAGTCTCCGCACGATAACGCAAAGGCTGCTTCTTCTTCCTTTGTTTCATTGCGGCTTCAGCTTGTCTCGGTCCCATTCGTTTCCATTTCACTAATTCTTGCCGGCTCATTTTCTTCATCGGCTTAGGCATCAAGGTAGTGCGAAGAACGACGCGCAGGGTTTAGAGACGAGAAGTTCTTGATAGCGGCGGGTTCTTCTGGTAGTGTCATCTGTCTTCAAAGATAACTTCTATCTACCTCTAGACTCGTTAGGTACGAAGACCATAGTCTCATCAGCTTGCAAACTACTTATCGCAACTATTAATTCAAGCTACTTCTATCGTATGCATCTTTACTCAGCAAGAGAGGCCTTAAATAATCGTTCCCCTCATGTTGAACTCCTCTTTCAAGGCCTTGCACAGCTGTCGGAGGTAGTTTTTGGGCAGTGTACCCCACGTATTAGTCCACATGACGAAAGTCGGAGGTCGTGATCGGACTTGCGATGGATTAGAGGAATGCTACGGGTTTAGGGTTTAGGGTAACAATCGACAAGTAAGAAAGTGGCACCAAAATCAAAGAATTATCAAGTTTCGCCTTAATGATATACTTCACTTGAAGTTTTTGGCCATCTTTCCATGGTGGTGGCCAGTGATGAGACCAGTTTTGAAACCACTGGTTTAATCTTGTTGTCGCGATCCTTGCAGCCGATCGACGCTCGAGAACTAAAGCCTGGTGGTTGTATGGATGCGTCTGTGAGTGTGAGTGTGTGGAGTTGTGAGTGCTAAACAGTGCGTATAGTTTCAGCCACGATGAGTCTCAATAATGTGCCAGCGATGGGCCGACGGCAAAGCGGTCAACGAGATGGGCGCAGCCACGTGAAAAGCAGCCAGTCGGCATGGTGGTCCGGGACTGTTTTACCTCAGCGCCCTTCGCAATGCGCGCCCCGCTCTCTTCCGCGGGTCCGCCTGCGTCTGTCTGTGACAAACAACCGAGCACGCGCAGGCCCATTCCTGCAAGACCGCCGGGAGCCCCAGCGCGGAAATTCCCGTTCGACAAACAAACAAAAAACTGTAAACAAATTAATACCTTATCCATCAGGGTCGCTAGATTTTGGTTATATTTCGCGCTCATGAAAACGCACGGCACGTCACCAAGGGATTCCCATACGCCGTTGTTCAATCTGTCTTGGATTTCTTTCCGAAATTTGATTTTTTCTTCACAGTCTTTCACCAAATCCCACTTATTCACGGCCACAATGAGCGGCCTTTCCTCACTTTTCGTCACCATGCGCGCCAACTTCATCTCCCGCTGTGATGGTGTGCTGAAGGGGTTCATGCTGGCATTAGAGAGCGAAAAGAAGTCAGACGAAACTCCAACTTTTGAGATCCAAATCTTCCAACAGTAGAGTACTTCTAGAAGTAGAGTCCATCCCTCCATAAGATAAGCCGAAGCATCTATGCACAGAATCACGAGGTGCGCGCGCTTGATCGCCTTGTTCGTCCCCATTCCTGGTTCTAGCATGCTTTCCCCCGTCTCCGGATCCAGCAGTTCTCGACCACGTCGGTATATTCCACAGGTATCGATCAATTTCACGTGACGTCCACGATATTCCCAGTCGCATGAGACAGCGTCGATGGTGGTACCAGACTCAAAATGAACGACCATACGCGGAGAACCCTGTCGTGGATGAGAGGTTAGGTTAGGTTGGGGCCTACCATCCGATGTGGTAGACTTAAGCGGCTGCTGATGAGAGTTTCGGTCGTGGGTCACTTAACTTAATACTGTTGGCAACTCGAAATTGAGAAGAACATGAAGATAGTCTTCTTTTCACACAAGCCATCATCTACTTCGAGGCACCAGCTTAAAAGTGACAAGTACCAACAAGGCATTGATCAGCGAACTCTTCCCGCTATTTGGCATGCCTATCACTGCAACCTTTAGCGGTCGCTCAAACAGATCTGCCTCTCGCTTGGCACCCATAATCTTGTCCCGTAAGGCTGCAGCCGCGTCCCACTTCTCTTGTCCGCGCTCGTCTTTGGCACCAGTTCCGGGTGGGGATGAAGGGGTGCGGTAGGGGTACAACGAAATCAAAAACTTAGGTGCGAATCAACATGAGCTGAACTCTAGTGTTGGGATATCATCAACAGAAAAATTCATTGCGATGTGTCCTCTAGCAAAAAATTCTGTTATACTAAACCCCCAATTGATTTATATGTTCCAGAATCATACCAACAACTTCCTCACAGCCTCGACTCCTCCTCGGGTTGCCGCTGCCTCAAACTTTTCCATGTCCAAAGCTTTTTGCAGTATCGGATCTGTGATCGTGATGCCTCCAGGATGTCTGGCAAAATATGCTAGTGCCCGTCTTTGCTCAGGCGTAAGGTTCGGGTATTTCCAGGAAGCATCCAGTTCTAAGAGTTCCTCTTCGTCTTCTTCGGCCGCGAAGATATCTACATCTTGATCTGGGGCCATGGCTAATGAGGTCTCTTGATCTTGCCGCAAAGCCAACGATGTTTCTTCGTCAGATGGGGAAACTATTCTTGACAATGCGTTTCCACCATCCGCTTCAGATGAAGCTACCAATGCATCATCTACACCTTCCTGCCGACAGGCATCGATTGGTACTAATGCTTTATCCTCTTTCGCCTTTTTCAATGCAGTCCGTCCTTTCGCTTTCTCAGCTCGAGATGACCGTGCCTTAGCATCCCACTCCCCCTCGTCGTCTCCGTAATCCTCGTTTTCTTCACCACCATGCTCCTCCTCATAGAACCAATCTTCGGAAAGCTCCTCTTCGATAGTTGAAATATGGTCACCGTCGAAGTTTTTTTCTACATACTCCTCAAGGATTTCTTCGTCGTCCTTGATATCTTGTAGAATCCGTCTTTTGTCATCGAGCTCATCGCGGCAGTGATCGGATGCTGTAGCTGCTCCATGGCATGATAGCGGAATTATAGTGTTGCTTTTTTCTTCCGTCCCAACTGTAACGGGCTGTTCGGTACTAGCAACGGAGGCACCAGAGCCAGAAGCGAATACTGACTTAGCTGCAAGAACATCCTCATCTTCATCACAGTCGTCTTCATGCTCGATATCATGTCCACAACTGTCCTCCTCTAGTTCATTCCCACTAACACCAACATCGTCCTCCTCATCAGCTTCCATAGCAGGATGATAGTTCAATTCCAGCACTAAACGGTCGTAGAGATGGTCCAAGCCCTCGTTATGCATCGCGGAGATAGGAACAGGATCGCCAAGGCCCAAATCGTAGACATCGCCAGCCCAATCGCCGACGAAGCCACCGTCTGCCTTATTTGCCACGAGAATGAGCTTCTTGCCATTCTTCGTCGTCGAAGAACAACTCTTCTTGCTTGACGTTTTCTGGCTTGAGGCTAGGCTTTGGGGATCAGGCTTTTCAGGCTGCTCATCATGTCTGGGGTACGGCTTCATCCCAGGCGCAGTCGGCAACCTTCTCTTAGCGTTTTTGTCGCCTTTGTCTTTCGACACTGAATTCTTGTTTAGTACCTGAAGATGTTCTTGATCAGTCGTTTTCGTTCGCTGAAGTTGAGACCCTACTTCTTCAGAGTCATACTCTTCCCCTTTACGCCATCGTCCGCCGATCAAACCGCCACCCTCCAAATTATCGAAGACAATCTTCTTGTTGGAGCTGTCGTCAGACTGATCACGTCGTGGGCCACTTCCCTCAGAGGAACACTGATTTTTCCAAATCATCTCCTTCGCCACTTGCAAGTCCAAAGGCGTGACGCCTTGCTTTGCGTCGATCAGGAAAAGTACGACATCGGCCTCTACCATGGCTTGTCTCGCTTGTGCGCGCATTTGGGCTAGGATGTTGGACTTCACTGTCTTTTTCACATCCTCTACCCCACCTGTGTCGATAGCGTGGATGATGAGGGAACCAAAAACTCCGCTTCCGTTTATTAGAAAAGTGAGTGTGGTGTTGTTGTATCTCATGCAGTATCGTGGTTCATCTGCCACGACCCAAATCGATTCGTGCATAGTACAAGTAAGAAGATCCTATCGATTCCTCTACAAGTTCCCTATCTTCTTGGTACCATGTTACACTCGCCATAACTCAAGACGATCCCGCGTCGTGCCTGCTCGTTTGTGAACGATAGCGCGCATGCTCTTGGCCGAGCCGGAAATAAGCCTGTTAAACAACGTAGACTTCCCCACATTTGATCGACCTATCAATGCAATACGAACCTCTTTCGCGCTTGCAAAGAGTGACGGATCCCGTAGCAACGATAGTTTGTTCTTCATGCGATGCTTCGTAGATCGGGAGGCAAAGAATCGGGAGCAGGCTCTAGTACCCCCGGTACAACTGGGGGCGTAGAGATGATACCGATGATACGCCGCTCTCTTACAACTCGCGTCTGTGAAGATGATGGGATTCCTATTCGTGTGCGGCCATCTCCATGACTCTGGAACAAGCCGCGTCGTCGAAACGAATCTCCTAGAGCTTCTGGAGCCTAAGGAAACACTGTTGCCCGCCTCCTCTACCAGCATGCCGGCAAAGTAGCGGACGGGTCTCACGGCTGACGACGAGGAAGCAGCCGCCATTGTATCTTGCTCTAAAATGTGAACATCTTTATGATCTTCGTTTTTAGCCCTTCCGTCGGGTAACGGCAAGGTTAGCGCCTGAAAAAGAGTCACACTCAGATCTTCACGTACACTCAAATCTTCACGTATTGATCCCCCAGGGGTAAGCATCGATCATCCATTCTGTTCTTACGTCCCTCTCTTACGTCTCCTGTCAACAAACCACGGCCATAAATGAATCTGTTAGGGAACAACAAATCTTTTCTTTTCCTGATCACCCCGATCGACCACTCTTCGGTGACCAGTGTTGTCTAAAGTCCGAGGAAGCATACAAGGTAGATAAATTGATGCTATCGATAAGTAGACAAGAATTCGAAACATGCAGTGCTATTCGTCCCAACAATGTATCTCCATCATGTCTGGAGGGAAAGGGAAATCTACCTTAGGTAGATTCCCCTTTCATCATCCTCCTCCCTTGTCCCTCTGCACCAGCAAGTCTTTCTGTTCTAGCAGTTTCTTCTCCTCTAACAATGCTTTCGCGCGCGCTCGAACGGCAGCCCATTCGGGACCTTGAAAAGCATCCTCCACGTCTTCGATTCTCGCTAGCTGGGGTATCTCTTCCCCCTTGGCTAGCTCTTCTGATATTGGCTTTGGTTTGGGCGCTTCGAGGTTGCACTGAGCAGGTGGCGCCTGCTCTGAAATTAGAGCCGTAGAAGAGGTGTAGTTCTTACAAGAGAGAGATGAATGTATCAGGAAAGATGAAGTGTCTAGTTCTTACGGTTCTCTGTTATATTAGGAGGACGACTAACATTATTGTAAGTAAACAGCAATGACTTGTTTTTCATCATCAATTTCTTCTCTATCATCTCCACACCAGAGTCATAATTTCCTATTCCTCTCCGCGTTCCTCTTTAGGTACGAGTACGCGAGGAAGGCGATGCCGCCTACGCCCAATCCGGTGCCCAGCATCCGAATCCTCGCAACACGCTCTGGATAACGCGCTGTAGGGGAGGGCTCCATCGATGTGTAAAACTTGTAAACTGGATAGCCCAGAGTGACGCCGAGGAAGCAGGCTATCGGGACACGCAAGGGAGTTGTCATTTTCTGTTTTGTCTGCAAAAAATGTACTTAGCCAATAGACCCTTCTTGCAGATCGCACTTCCAATTTGGAGAGACTAACAGAGCTTGTGTGAATCCAATACAACACAGCCTAATACGATGTACTCTTTGACACTTATTTCTACAGGAGTGTTTGAAAAAGTGAAGTAAGCTCACGTTTTCTTGGTTTTTGCGCGTGGAGCAAGAACTTATCAAAACACATCAAAAAACCCCAGAAAATGCTAACGATGCCATCCCTCTGCCCTCTCTCTCTCAGCCTGTATCTTTTTTACTATTAGCGCCGTCTTACAACGTGGCACCGAATGCTCACTCTGCCACATCTCGCACGCTTACAACACCGTGCTCGCACAACACTTGTCCTCATCCTCGTTGAGCACAAAATCAGAAAAGTTTATCCGTCGGTTCATCCGAAGCCAGGGGGACTGCAGTATGATCCCACGTAGAGAAAATATTGTCAATGAAGCTCGTAAACTTGTCTTGTAATGCCTTTTCCTGCAAGACTCCTTCTAGAGAATCAAAGAAGAAAAAAAACTCTCCGAAGCCTTTAAAATCCCCACCTTCAACCAAGTTTTCGCTGCTCAATTGCAGGACCGGTTGCTGCTTCAGACAAGTGTCCCCATCAAGAGGCTTCTTCCTTACCAAAGCATTTCCTGACGCAGCAATCGCCTTAACTGGTATAATTCCGATGCCCCCAAGCCTTTGATCTTCTCCAGATGAATCCACCATCAGTGCGAAGTAGTCTATTCCACAAGATCGTCGCAGCAAGGGGCGGTGCCACAGATGAGAGAAAGCAAAGCGTAGGCGTCGCCCCCCAGAAAGGGTACCTTGCAACCTTTCAGGTCGCCGAATAAGCAAGCGTCGTCCGTGAAAGACAGCCATGCTTAGAAGCGCCGAGAGATTTTGAAACATGAGAAAGGGAAGCGACGCCTCTCATCTCCGAGAAGAATCAATTGGAACACTTGAGTTGCATCTACGACCCCGAAAAATCATCCAGCAAATCCAAACGGTCACTTTTTAAAATTCAAAAATAGTGTTTTTCGTAAATTATGCGCGTTCGAGTCGGTGGTTCCTCGCACATAAAACCGAATGTCATTGAAGCCAGGAAGCTGAAGCAATTGCACCAGGAACATGCGGTACTCAAGTGCGATAGGGGTTGTAGCCAAATCAACGATCAAACTCTGTAAATCACCCGAACAAGCGATGCGTGCGGTCGATGCATACTCCTCGCGTAACCAGTCACGCAAACGGCCTGCGGCGGTGCCGAAGTGGATTTCATCCTTCGTGCACAGCCTCATCGTTTCCCATTGCCGCTCCTTCCCTGTTCTTGTCGAAGCCGAAGCAGGAAACACGAAACAGGAATTTGAAGGCGACGACATCATGATGCACGGCACCCCTGGCCTTCTGCGGTAGGAAACCGTACTAATCATTTGTCGCAAACTAGCATCCTTCGCTGTTGTCGTCGTCGGATCCTCATCATCGCTGGCGCTGTGGGCCTCCCGCTCCTGGTCATCAGCACTACGCCGGCGTGCTCGAATCTGAATCGGACTCCAAGTGCCATCAAACGCGGAAGTACTCCCCTTGTTCCGCAGCCGGATCAAGACCGGAAACAGCGACTGCTTTGGCAGCACGAAAAACTCGAATTCTGGTGCAACGCGTTGCGCTATGCGAAGAAACCACTGGACGCCGTCACCCTGAATCAACCGCAATGCAAATGGATAAGCCCGAAGATGATCTTCGCCGTCGGCGGCTAAAGTCGACTCTGAATCAGTCTGGCGAATCTTGCCTGCGGCGCAACCCGTCTGCTGAAGTGCTTCGAATCGTGAGAACTGACTGGCATCCGCTGTGTTTGCCGACCTGTTGAGCGACGGCGCTGGTCTCCTCACGACAGTGTTACCTGCAGCGCGTCGCCAAAGCCGATGTATACGCGTCATGCCGGTACTGGGTCGCAATACTTGCGACTACGTTCCCCAAAGTTGTAGATGAATAACCATCCTCGTCCAGATCACATGATAAGTATGCTCCTTCATTTTGAGAAGAGTCGGTTGCAAAAAGATCTTCCACGTTTTCGAGTTTTTCTAACATAGATACTCTTATATAGCTGCCTGCGCGCCACCCGACAAGTAGTTTCGCGTCTGCTTTTTTTGTTTTGCATCCTAACAAATGCATAGCAGTTCCTCTGCTCTAGCTTCGCCTTTAAGAATATATTCCCTTCGCATTTCACGTGGCCCCATAGAGCCGCTTCAGTCGGTTTCCTCAGTTTCCTCTTTTTATACGTACTAAAACCACTCAATAACGCCCTCTCTTTTCTCCTCCGAAATCTGTGTAAGGATATCGTTTTTCACATCTGTCATCATCACCGGCTTGTGCACTCGCGAAAGCATGTCGACTGAGGAACAAAGAGGACAACTTGATAACCACCTATCTTCGCAGAAACTTTACGTGTTTTGCAGTCCCGAATTCATATTTTCGAAGCAAGTCGCAATTGTGTAGCCCCTTTGTCTGCGAATCATGTATGGATTTTGTTATGGGTATCGTTGATGTTCAGAGAGGAGCTCTCGCCATATCCATATGCAACTAGATGGAGACTAATGCTGTTCGGCGACCCTTCTTTTGATTTTTTGAAAAATTACAGTTCCAGTCTCTAGTACATTTTCACTTCATAGGTAGGTAAGCATGTTGATATTAGGAGAGATGTTGACATAGTTAGTACTCATAAATGTTATCTCCCTTGTCTTCCTTGATTTTTTCCCACGAGTTTCTTCGTTTAGTATTTGGTATTTTTTTTCAATACATTGATAAGTATTTGGTATTTTTTTTCAATACATTGATATGTTCTTGTACGAAGTTACCGATCTTTTTTATTCTTGATTGTAGGTGTGTATTTTGATTGTAGGTGTGTAGTTGGTGGTGAATTGCGATTTATCTTAAAAGCAGCCCTTTTAGTACTCGAATAGTTCGTTGATTTCGTGACTCTTTATTTTCATCGGAGTGGTCAGTAAGCAATGAATTTGGGGTGTGCATCACGAGCCTGTTTGTTCCTTTCCCGCTATAAAACCAGGGCGCTTCTCGTGGTCCTCCATCGAGATTATACAAATCCAATGAAGTGCAAGATCTAGTGCAAAATTATTAGTGCTAGCGTCTGATTTCCTAGGAAGCTTCCATGCTGTAACAAGTTAAACAACTAGCTGAGTAACTACTAGGTAGTTCTAGTCTAATTTGCATTTTATGATGTGCCTGGCATTTGCAATAGTAATTGTCCTAGTTCGAGCTACCAATCATTTACATTATCATTGATGTCGTGCGTGGAAATAGTAATTGATTGATTGTCCTAATAGTTATCAATCATGAGGGTCCTCCTCATAAAGATGCGAGGCTCCAAGCGCGGCTCCAGTGCATGATGCCAAAATAATTTTAGCATCAAAGGAAGATATTGACGATGTTTCACTTTTATCCTCTGTTTTTTCGGAAAAAAACTCGAATATGCTCATTACGATACATGCTAACTAGTGTTGCTGTTGAAGCAAGTATTGAAATTGAAAAAAACCTTAATCGTCCCCTATTCATTCTAGTTTTACGACAAGTTCGTTCATATTTCAATCGTATATCGTGCACCCTCGCAGTTTCGTTGATGTTCATTGTCGTATTTACCGCAGAGACTAAAATCATGATTTGTTAAGTGAAGACCTCTTACCCTTTCAGTCATAAAATCGAAAGTCTAAGTTGTTCTTCTTGAGTGAAGACCTTCTCCCCACTTTCACGACCTTTACTTGCTAAGTAAGTCACCTCCTATTCCCTTTCTGCGTTACTTGTTGAGCAATCTTCCCTTTCACAAGTACTTGTTAGGTGACCTTCACCCCCCCCTACCTGTCTCCTCACGACCTTTACTTTTGACTTAACTTCCTCTTAGGTTTTGCGATTTTCTTCGCTTGCGGAGCGTCGCCCATCGCGCATTTGTGGTCGTGGGGCACCTCAGTCAGTTGAATGTTTTTCATGTCCACCGGAGCACTTCCCTTTCCGTCCCCTAAAGGTACACCGGTCCAGTCGTCCTCCTCCTTCTTGGCGTCATCGGCAGCAGAAGATGCAGCTGTGGAGGATGCTGCTGCTGCAGCAGAGGATGTTCCCGCAGCAGAACCTTTTTGGACAACGAGAAAGAAGTAAGCTGCGCCAGCTCCTCCGGCAATGACGACAAGAACGGCGATGATGATCCCAGCAATGGCACCACCGCTGAGACCATCGTCGTCATCAGACGAGGAAGAGCCACTTCCGCCCCCACCCGAGGGAGGTGGCGTAGTGGCCGCAGGGGCCGGTGTGGCCGCAGGAGTTGGCGTAGTGGCCGCAGGAGTTGGCGTAGTGGTCGAGGCGGCATTAGAGACCTTCATCTTGAAAATTCATCTTGAAACAAAAGCATCTTAGACGTGCTTCCTTTGAAACAAAAGCATCTTGAAACAAAAGATCTTTCTTTCCTTTGAAGAAAAGAAGTCAAAGAAGATGCTCCTTGAGATGAAATACTGTAACCCTTAATGGCAGTTGGAACGGAACCTGCGGTGAGAGCCGAAACAGTTACACCCAGTGATGCAGTCGACAACGCGGTGTTCACCTCACTGAGCATGGCGGCTTGAGCCGTCGCGTCCGCCCCGAACATAGCATTGTTCAACGACGTCGTAGCGGAGGTCACCTCAGCAGCAGTCGTGAAGCCAGTAATGTCGTAGACGAAATCGTGCGGAGCAGCAGCGAGCAAACGCAGGTTCTTGTCCGAGGAAGAGTGCTCCTCCAACAAGTTACGACGCAATCGGGAGCCACAGGTAGCGCCAGTGATAGTCACCACTGCGGACGTCGCGTTCACGTAATTTTTCACGCCAGTGGCCACGGCCCCTCCATAGGTGTCATTGAGCAGCGTAGACGTACAACTGGGCACGTCAAACGTCAACTTCGTCGAGGACTTCACCGTCGTCTTCGTGGCTGCCGTATCAGCCGGACTTGCGGCACCAGAATTAGACCTTTCCGAAACCCATCTTGGAAGCCATCCTGCGCTACATTTTTTTCCTCTCCTTAGGAGAATAGATATCCCAAGATGCTTCTGAAGATGGACTACCTGATGCCTTAACAGAACCGCCCGAGCCGGCCAAGCAAGTGGCGGGTAATCCGAGAGGCGTGGATCTCATCGTGGACGCCGTGAGAGACGAACCAGCAGAGAAGAGTGAGAGTCCGCTTAACCAATTGTCGGCAGTTCCTGTTCCATCGAGGCCTTAGAGATAGAGAGTACAAAATTAATTTTTTGATATTAGGAATATTTTTTACATTATATATTAGTTTGTAACAAAGTTTGTAATTGGAATATTTTGTTTTTAGCAAGTCCTACACTACGCCTATGAATCCTATCCACCTAGGCCGGTGCCTCCATTTCTCCGAATGATCCTAAGGAGGAAACAGGGAGAAAAGGCTTGGAGAAATGACGATGATGATGATGATGATGATGACGATGATGATGATGCTGACCGAAGAAGACCAAGATCATTTCTACACCCTTTCAAACGAATGTATTGAGCCTTAAAGACAGGTCGCAGCCATCCCTGGCAGTCCCGAACACAAACCACAAGAGCCGTCGGCTAGAACCTGAGGCGCGACTTCCAACTGAACTAATTAGAGCTACCGCGTTCGCATCTTCCTCTTTGGGAACCATGTGATCCTTGGAGGGTACTTCTTTTTCCCCTTGAAAAAGAGGCCAAAGATGACGCTGAGAATACTCATCTGGCGGTAGCCTTAAAAAAAAGGTATCACCCCACCAGAAGCATCGTTAAAGACGTTTTCCTCCGCGAAACGAATAGAGATACTGGAGTGCAACGTAGGATTCTGAAGAGTGGGATCCGGGACTAGCTGCTCGACAGGTACGCCTTGCTCCACGTACATGCGACGCGCAATCGCGCAAGCTTCAATCTTGTCGACGGCTTACTTAGAGCTCCTATATCTGAATACATCTGACTACTTGAGAAAACTCTTTACTTGAAACTCGTAATCTTGTTGTCGGGCTGCAGAGTCGCACAACTAAAATAACTGAGTTGTATAAACTGATCTAACTCTAAGAGTCGTAGTTGTCGTCGTGCTATTGTATCTATACTTTAGCGCAGCTATCCTTGAGCTATTACTTATACTTAAATTCTAAGACTTCGAAGACATGGAGCACGACCTTCCTCTTATTTCACTCTCTCCCACTTGCTCTCATATAGGAGGACAGGGCTTCTAGTATTCATTCATTCATTCATTCATTCATTCATTCATTCATTTACCTAGTACAGCTCCAAGACTATAGATGTTTCTAGTACAGCTCCAAGATTATAGATGTTTCTAGTACAGCTCCAAGATTATAGATGTTTCTAGTACAGCTCCAAGATTATAGATGTTTCTAGTACAGCTCCAAGATTATAGATGTTTCTAGTACAGCTCCAAGATTATAGATGTTTCTAGTACAGCTCCAAGATTATAGATGTTTCTAGTACAGCTCCAAGATTATAGATGTAAGTGCTGACGATGTGAATCTATTCGACAATCTGACTAGATGTAAGGACCATCATCTTCTGAACAAGATGGGACCCATCCATGTCGCCCAATATTCTCTCTATGGGGGGCAGGCGTAGAAAGAGTAGGAGGCTTAACTTTCACCGTGTACTTGAAACTCAGGCGCTTCGACGCGGCCGCATAGGCGGTATAGCTAGAGGCGCTGTTCGTCGGAGCGGAGTCAGTCGATGTGATCGTGTCCACCGTGATGCGATCCCTGGTGACGAAGGTCAACCCGGGACCCTGCGCCCACCAGTTGGCGATGGCGTTGGCTGCATTCGGCTTCCAGGAGTCTGGATTAGAGCTCGCCCACCTAGTGATCCACCTCAAGATTGAAAGTGCATCCTGGAGTAGAGGTGTGTAGTTCCCCTTCTACTGGGATGACTTCTCTCAAAATGGGAGATCAACACTACGGAAAGCCTTAACTAGATTTACCCCGGTCAATTTGCTGGCAAAGACCTGCCAGCTGAGTTCGGCCTGCAGAAACAAAGAGGTGGTAGTTGTGGTGCAGGTCGTCGCCCCATCGGCGCAAGCGTATTGGTCGTCGGACGGAACCGGCGTCAACGCAATATTTTTCAGTTTGTAGGCTGTATCGGCTTTGCCGCACCCCTCGCAAGTGTAACCGCACGTTGCGTCGCGCGTAGAGTACAGGTTGATCACGTTCGCTGCGTGGTTCTTGTCTGGAAAAACGTTGGTTGTCTCGAAGCCGTTTCCGGAAGGCCAATAGTGGCAGGTGTGGTATTTTTGCCCATTCCATTCCTTGTAGGCACAGCCAACGTAACGAGTATCGGACCAGATCACTTGCGTCATGTGACCAAATTGAGGAGTAACGAGCCCTCCACAATTCGTGCTCTTCGGCGCTCCAGCGGGACAGACACCCCCACAGGTCAATTCCGACGCCCCTTTGCCACTGTGGGCATCGAAGTCGTAGCAGTGCAGCTCAACAGCGTACCAAGCGGCGGTGGCGTCGATTCCGGTAGTGAAACCCGTCGCCAAATTTTCACCGATCTTCGTCATCCAACCAGGCGCGCCCAAAGAGTTGAGCGTCGAGGCGTCCCAACCGGCGGGAGCCAAATCCACGAAGTGGCCCCAGCCTTTGCCTCCTGTAGTCATCTCGTCATTAGAACTAAGAGAGATCCATCTTCAGCAGCATCTTGTTGGGATCCCTTTTCTGTTTAAAAACGGGAGGACCAAGAATGACGATGCCTGTGAAGATGGATTCGATTCCTTCTAGCTAGCCTTAACATCAGTCCACAATTTCGCTGTTTTGGCCAAAATCGCACTCCACTGCAGATCCGGAGATTCGCACTTCGTGTCGCTGCTGCGGTGACGGCACCGCATCACGTTGTGGGCCTTCAAGGTTCCGGCCAAACTCGCGGCCACCGGTTCTGTGACATACTCCCTCTCGATCGCAGTCCCACTTCCCTCAACGATAGTCGTGATGAAGTCCGCCGCAGCAAGCAACACAAGTGCAGAGGACATCTTGTTCTGCCTACGTTGTACGGACACGGACGAGGAGGAGGTGCGACTATGGAAGCCTCTATTTTCTTTTGTCATTTTGCTGTAACACGACATCTTGTAGTAGACCTAGAATGAATCTTCACTCAGGAAGGAGAACAATCGAATCTTGGAGAATGTACCTTTCTTGAGGCAAAGAAATTACATCTGCTTAGCTTGAGAATGGGATGAGATTTTTCGCAATGAAAAAAGTCTCAAATTTGGAAAGAGAAATGAGTTCGGGAAGAAAATGAGGGCTGTTTCAAGAGTTATTGAGAGTCCAAAGGTCGTTTTAGGCACTACCATAATCTATCATCTTCATGTTCAGATTCAGTATACGTCTCTTATAAAATAAATCTAAGTACTCTCTCTCCCTACAAGATGCTGACCTTACTCACTCGTCAGGACAGAAGGATGTGGTGCTCCCATGACGGGCAATGGTCACTCTCTGAAAACAGATAGCTGTGACGCTCTCAGAACCGTAGACTGACATGCTCTCAACACAGAATACAGCCATGCTCTCGCAACAGAATACAGCAATGCTCTCAATGGAGGACACTCCGAACAATAGGATATCATATTCTTGCGCTAAAAGACCAACCTCGAAGAACACGGTAGCTCGTCAGGCTCTGGCAGAAAGATCATCTAGTATGGCGATCCACTCCAAACTCGGTTGTTATTACAGCAGTGCTTTTCTGTTATCGCTAGATCAACCATCATGCTCTTCTGAAATAGGATCCCATCTATTGAATATATCATTTGCGAATGCACTGCATTTCTCGTTGATGGTTTCTTGGGTCATTCCATCGAAAAAGAAGAAAAATTCTTGAAGGCCAGTGAAGTCCCCTCCTACATTATTCGCATCATCAAGTGATAGAATGGGTTGCACTTTCATGTAGGTGCCAAGTTTTCCTGTGGGGTCCCTGCGATAGAGGCGCCCACGAGTGACCGCAGCGCGTGGTATTATGCCGATTCCCGCGAGGGTTTCTTCTTCTCCATTGCGCGCCATCGTCATTGCTAGATAATAGTCAAGCTCCGCCCCGCTGACTGCCACAGGATGGCTGCCCTTAGGAACTAGGGAAAACCGCATGCGCAACCTGGTGTCCGATAACGAGGAAATCCGCTCGGGAGCACGCACGAGCAGGCGACGTTCGTCCAAAAGAGCGTTATACCCGGTTGAACCACCAATCCCTCGCGAACGAAACACGATCGACTGAAATATCGGTATCCGAAGCAGCTGTGTAACAAACATTCGTTGCTTGCGTATGGCCGGCGTCGTTGCAGTGAGTCTCAGAAGCTCTACGAGGGTCCCCGAAATGCTAGAAGTCGGCGTCACCGGAAAAACGCGGCGTAGCCAACTCCCTAGTTCATTTGCGTTCGTGGTGAGATCGATTTCATTTTTTCCACCTGGCCTGGCGCGTAGCCAAGGGCGATTATTCGGTGCTTCAGAAACGAAGCACGCGTTGGCGAAAGGCGAGAACACCACGCACGGCACCTTCGGATTCACAGTAGAGCTCTCGTTCCTGACGTAATGCCACGCAGTGCGAGAAAATACTGATTTATCGCCGCTCGCCGCGTCAAATCGTCGAGACGAAACCGTAGCTCGGATCTGAATTAGACTCCAGACACCTTCGAGAGCTGAAGTATTTTCGGCTGCGCGGCGCCGAATCAAGACGGGAAACCGCGACTGCTTCGGTAGTTCGTATACTTCAAACTCTGGCGCAACTTGCGACAGCAACCGAGTGAACCAATGCACTCCTTCCGCCTGTGTCGGACGCCGGTCGCACGCTCGACTCTCGTGGAGCTTCGAAGGTGGGATCGTTGGGGCTTCCACTGGTTCACCGCTGCTTCCTTGTTGCTTACATGCACCAGTGACGCCTTCGAGATCCGCCGCTGGAGAAGGCCTCTGCACGACCTGTCTTGCTCTTGCGAAGTGACGAAGCTGTCCCCATCCACTGATGCTTCGGGTCACGATCATATTCTAGGCTAGGATATCAGAAGGTGACACTGCGCTACATTTCACAGCTCCAGTTCGTATTTGCGAAGCTCCTGTTGTAGTGCGCGCGACCCTAGTGAATGCCCGAGCCAAGAGCATCCTGACAGTCATCTATGTCACCTCGTGACACACAACGCTTTGGCTTACCTCCCTGAACACAAGAGAAGTTTTTGCAGAAGTACAAAACATCTTGATCTCTGGAAAAACTGAGTCGCTCGACGGAAGCCCTCTGCTACGGAGTGCTGCAAGCTGCTCATGCTCCGTTTTCTTTGTTGTGTTCATCAAAAACACAATACTGAAGTCAATGTGCTCCTGTACATGTATGTTCCCTCAATGGATTATCTAGAGGGACTGCGCAAATCCCTGTCACGTATCGTCATGCCAACTCCTTTGCTCGACAACAAGTCCCGGATAGATTCATGATACTGAAGTAAAACTATGCAACTTCGCGAATTCAATTTTCAATCTGAACATTTGGAATATCAGAATCAAATCATGGCAGTCTCATCATCGTAGAGTCCCACTTCTCGAAAACATCCTGCAAGAAGCAAGGAAACTCCGAGTGCGAGGAGCTCTGCTCTACGATCTGATCAGTGTTCGTGAAAAAATAGAAGAAGTCGTCGAAACCTCGAAAGTCGCCGCCCAGATTGTTTCTTGAGTCGAGATGCAGAATCGCGTGCTGCTTCAAGTGTGCGTTGCTTTCTGGATTACCCGATCTAACAGCAAGCTTACCGTCTCGCATAAAAACTGCAGCAAGCGGGATTATTCCAATACCGCGGAGCACAGAGCTATCATCTTTCCCGCCAATCAGGAGGAGCAGATAGTCCACCTCGCTCTTACCACGCTGTAGAGGCTGACTCCACAATTGCGAAAAGATGTAGCGAAGTCGCCTGTTACCCCCTGCACTCTGCCTTAGCGTTTCCGGACGGCGTATTAGCAAGCGCCGATGGTGGAGTTTGGCATTGTGTGCAACCAAACCGTCGACACCACGGCGGTGAAAAGCGATTCGCTGCAGCACTGGCAGTCGCAACATCTGCACCAGAAACAAACGATGCTTTCTGATATTCGGGGAAGCCGCGAGACTTACCAAGAGACTCGCCAAATCACCAGATCCGGCGGCTTCCGTCTCCGATGGGAACGTCGCGCGCAACCAGTCTCCAAGCTTCTGCGGGCTCTCTTGCAAGCGTATCTCGTTTTCGCTGCCTGGCTTTGCGCGTAGCCAGGTCCGTATCGCATTTCCTGTAAAAACGAAACATGTCTCCTCAAACGGTGACATCACAACACATGGCACATCTGGATGAGACCGGTAGGACTCGTTGCGGGCAAAATACCAGGAGGGTGAAATTCTTCTTGCAGCACACACAAGGAATGAGTTATCATGCTCCTCGCCAGCGCCAATGCGCCGCGCGCGATTTGCGGTAGCACGGATCTGGATGGGCTGCCAGTGCCCGTCAAAAGGCGTTCTTCCTGCATCGCTCCGATGCCGAATGAGCAATGGAAAGCGCGATCCATCTGGCAATTCGTAAAATTCAAATTCCGGTGCGAACTGTTTCGCCAAGCGGATAAACCACAGCACAACGGTGGCCTGCCCGGATCGGCGGTCATATGAATCCGACTCCGGATCTGCTATCACGGACGGAACTCTCTGACACGGACGGAGCTCGGAGCTCGGGACACGGACGGATCTGCTATCACGGACGGAGCTCCGAGCCGCGTTGCTGCCATTCGCTTGTGCGATGACAGGACGTGTAGTGTCCTGGAAATTACCTGCGCTTCCCAGGAAGCTTTTCCTCCTGCCTTTCACCTGCGCTCGCACGTGTCTCCACAGCCTTCGCGTCAACAGCACCATCTGTCCCCATCACCTAGCGAAGGTACAGTCTGCGGCCAAACCACAGGAGTGGATACATCATAGATCACTACAACTGTTGCCAAAACTGACTTCAAGAAATTACCAAACAATTTCCAGCAATTTTTCAGTCACTAGAATCAGCTCATGATTTCGATTTTTGACCAACACGCACGACAAGCACTTCGAGCAGAGTGTGTTTCAAAGCTATATTTTGTTCTGATGAAGATTGGCATCTACTACCTCGAAGTCACATCGCTCTAGCACAAACGCCACTCAAGGAAGAAGCTTCCCCAAGCACGTGCACTCGGAGGTATTTACCGGGAGACAGGCCGAGCGGGTAATCTTTCTACTGTGCTCACGGTATCCCACTTTGTGAATATGTCATCGATAAACTCTGTGAATCGAGCTCTTCGGCTCGATGTCTGGTCACTTATTCTTAAAAGATCAGCATCATCAAAGAAAAAGAAATATTCATCAAGCCCCTTGAAATCACCAGAAATCTTCCTGTCCGCATCAATGATGAGAACCGGCTTTTGCTTGACGCGCAGGCGTACCTCGTTCCACAGGAGATTCTGTCTGTCTAGAAGCACGTACGGGACAACACCCACCCCAGTAAGCTTCGTACTTTCGCGTCGGTCGCAAATCATGAGGACCATGTAATCGACCTTGCTGCTGCTACTCAGCGGTCGACGTCGGCGAGCGCCGAACTCGTAGCGCAATCGCGTCTTCGGAGTGCCAGTTGATCCGTAACAAGAAGAGCGGTTTTCTGGTCCACGGAAGAGCAGTCGCCTGCCGAATAGCGTAGCATTGTGCGTTGTCGCTCCACCGATGATCTCGGTGTGGAATGTAAGGTGCTGCATTCCAGGAAACCGCATCACCTGAACGAGGAGACGCCGCTGGGTTCTGCTCGCAGGGGTCGTCGTTGCGAGAAGGATCAGCTTCTCCACTGTCCCCGAGATCCCTGGATTAGCTCGTTTCGGGTACATCTGCCGTAGCCAGTCGCCGAGCTGTGCCGGGGAATTACGCAAGCCGATTTCCTTCGCACAGCCGGGTCGGGTCGAAAGACGCGGTCCGAGTGTGTCGCCCGAGAAAAGAAAGCATGATACTGTCGCGCCGGACATAATGATATTCGGCACGTCTGGGGCAATAGGGTACGGATCGTTTCGCACAGTGCAGTAGCGTCCACTCTGCCCTGCATCACCGGAGTCGCACGGATCACGAGATACCCTCCACGTCGACCGTATCTGCAGCAGGCTCCACTCGCCGTCAATCGGAGAGTTGTTCTCAGCCGTCCGACGTCGAATCAGGAGAGGAAACCGTGAATGCTTCGGCAGCACGTAAAACTCGAACTCTGGGGCAATATCGGCCGCTAAGTGCAGGAACCAGGACACGGCGCTTCCTTGGTTTACACGTCGGTAATACGGACTACAGTAGCCATTCGTGGCGGCAAGGCACGACTCCACGAGAGGTGCCTCCGTTGGCTGTGCTGGAGACTGCAAACTGGATCGAAATCGCCTAGCGGCAATCACGGCACTACCTCTGTTGCATGCGACTGGAATGAGTTGTACCCTGCTTCGGGGCACATGTCTTTTTCCAAGCAAAAAGTGTAGAGTCATATTTGTGATCAAAGAGCAATACACTAGTATACAATCGATAGGAGGAATATTTCAATATTAATACTGACGTGTCTTCGAGAAATGCGGTCTACTCCAGGCCTTCTACAGCCCATTTTCCACTTTTCCATTTAGCCGTCCGTTTGTGAAAAATCTGGAACTTTCAATCTACCCACTTTGCCGCCTTTTCAAATTTTGAAGAAACGACGACGACACCTAATTGCCATTTTCATTTTGTTTTTCTAGCTACATCTGAATACTATCGAAAACAGTTTTATAATGACGCAGCATCTACACGGAATACAGCGATGCTCTCAACACAGAATACAGCAGTGCTCTCAATATAGGATACTCCGATCCTCACAGAACAACAGGATTTCATGACGACCTAGAAGCAAGAAGGATATCTTGCGCCAGAACATTCATAAGCCTCGAACAACTGAAGACTGTAGTAACATCTCAGGGTCTAGAATACTGTTGGATCCTAATCTAATACTGTTGGGTTCCCATGAAATTTAGTTTCGTATTTTGCAGAGACGGTTTCCTCAATCACATCGTTTCTTCATGCGCCGCACGTACGGTGGTCCCAAGTTGTGAAAATATTGTGTAGAAAAGAAGCAACCCGCCGATCAAATGGTGGGTGACTCGAGGTATTTTGCTGTGAGAAGTGGAAGAAAAATTCAGCGAAGGGACCCTGAAAATCACCTCCGACGATGTTATCGGAGGCATCAAGTGCAAGGACCGGTTGCTGTTTCAGCCAAAGATCTCCATCAGCCCTTCTTTCTCTGAGAAGTCGACTCGGTTCCTCAATCGCCGCAAGTGGTATAACTCCGATTCCGCCAAGAACTCCGGGACTGTCCTTCGACTCAACCATGAGAAGAAAGTAGTCTACTCCGCATGAACTGCGGCAAAGAGGCGTCTGCCGCTGATGCGTGAACGAATAGTGCAACCGTCTCCCTCCTTGTGCTCCATTACGCCTCGTTGCTCCGCGTATAAGCAATCTTCGGCCGAAAAGCGTCGCGTTGTAAGCCGTCTCGCTGAGCGTTTTTTGTCGAAATACGATTTTCTGCAAAATCGGCAACTGAAAAACTTGCAACAAGAATATGCGGTGCGTCCGAATCGCTGCTGTCATACCAGATTTGACGAAAAGGCTTTCCAGGCTCTCGGTCAGAAAAGCGTGCATCGAGGCCGTCGGAGAGTATACTGAGCGTAACCAGATACCAAGCGCTTCCGAGCCTGCAGGCGTCTTTAGATCGATCTCGTTTTCGCTACCGGGCCTCGCGCGGAGCTCGGCTTTGTTTGCTGATTCCGCGAATACAAAACACGACATCGAGAACGGCGACATAACAATACAGGGAACATCAGGGTGTCTTCGGTAAGCAGTGCGGTTGCTCACGTACTCTTAAAGGTCGCGCGCTTCCATCTTTTGCTTCTCAGCTAGCCAGTTTCCTACTGAAAACGAAGCTACAACAAGGTGATTATCTCCTTGGATGGATAGATCGCGCAAACCGTAATAATACCAGCCGCCGCTTTTCTTTTCTTCTGCTTCTGTGCACGCCTGCTCCCAATCCACGCCGAGCTGCCGCTGCCAAGTTGTTGTCGCGCGAACTTGGACTGGACTCCACGCGCCCTCGAATACGGAAGCGTCGATTGCCTTGCGGCGACGGATCAAAAGCGGAAACGTGGAATAGCGCGGTAGCTCAAACACCTCGAGCTCTGGTGCGGATTGCTTTGCTAACTGAATGAACCACTGAACTCCTTCGGCCTGTGTGACCCGCCGTTTTGCGAGGCCCGATGAAGATTGCGAATCTTCGCGAGCCCGCCAAAATACCGTCTCCACGGAAAATCCTGGTGGGTGCACTGCCGCGTGTGCACACTGCGCAATCCTTCTCAGACCCCGGGTGGAGTGAGCCATTATGCCTACTCTAAATCATGACACAATCAGTAATATTCTCCAAGAGTTTTCTTGTTATGGCTCAGACAATTTTCGAGACGATTTTCCTTTCCGAAGAAGCGACATCAAATACACCAAGAAGTCTAAATGGAAAAAAATCAGCTCTAATTTGCATTCCACATTTTTGGCCTTTTTCAGTAGGGTGGCCGGCTTTGCGCGTGTCGCCATCTTCTAGAGGACATTCAACTTCACCGAAGAAGCTATCTGGTCAAGGGTCTCTTTTAGACATGGTTGCTACCGACGGACTAGCAACAGACTCCCTACACACTTTCTCCGGAAACGCATCTCTTACAAATACTGGCCTTCGGCGAATGCGATCTGAGAATCATTGAGCATCGCACAGATTTACGGTGATTTCCAAGCAGATTCAAATACCGAGCGATGTCCGCGTACAAGAGAGAAACGAACCGAGATGACTCGTCCACGGCCCGCTTTCCTCTAAGTGTAAGCTCGCAAACGCACTCATTTGGAGCTTGGAGAAAAGCATTTGCGCTCGCTGTTTTCTCAGGACATACGTCTTTCCGCCTCTGTCAGACCTAGTTTTGTGTTAAAGTCGAAACTTCCATCTGAAAGTCCAGCTGTTTTTTCATCTCCGTCCCACTCGTCGAAAATACGGTAAATGAAAGTGTGGAAGTCTTCCTCTTCTTCAGGCCTTTGTGCCTCATCTACCTGTCCAGAAGCAGAAACTTCTCTTTTGCTCAGAAAATAAAAATAGTCTTCCAGACCTTCAAAGTCGCCTCCTATTATCGCGCCATTCTCGAGAAGCAGCATCAGCTTCCTGCTAGTGAGACGTCTTGATGTTTTCCCGGTGCCTTGCCGCCGTTTCAGCAGTGCCATAGGCAAAACGCCGATCCCAGTTAGCGTTGCGGTCGAATTCGCGCTGCAAAGCATGAGTAGCAGGTAATCCACGCCGATTGGTTGTCGCCACGCCGAGCCCGTGCCTCTAATGACGGTGTCGTAGTAAAGCCGAGTCTTTTGGAAGAGACTAGTCGGCGACCCGGAGCGGTTCTCTGGGGCTCGCACAAGAATCCGTCGGCCCGCGAGTGTCGCATGGTAATCCGTAGCTCCCCGCACGCTTCCCGTATGGAATGACCACTCCTGCAAAACGGGCAGGTGCAATGCCTGAACAAGCAGCCGGCGCTGTGTCACAATGGCTTTAGTGGTGGCGGCCCGAAGCATCAGACTCTCAAGTGTCCCGGAAATGGAGGCATTAATCTGAGTGGGGTATGCTTCCTGCAACCACTGGCGGAGCTGATCTGCGCTTCGTGATAGATCGATTTCGTTGGCCGAGCCGGGTTTTGTCAACAAACAGGTCCCAAGGCTGTCTCCGGAAAAAACGAAGCACGACGACGAGAAAGTACAGAAGACAACGTTCGGAACCTGAGGCATCGTTTCATACGCACCGTTCCTTGCGCAGTACCACACACCGCCGGTTGTCTTAGCAGCTTTTTCTGAGGCCCTCCATGTCGACCGAATCTGCAACATGCTCCACAGCCCGTCGAGTGGAGATCTCTTCTCCGATCCACGGCGCCTCACAATGAGCGGAAACCGTGAGTGCTTCGGAAGCACATAAAACTCGAACTCAGGCGCTATTTCGCCCGCCAACTGCAGGAACCGCCAAACCGCATCGGCTTGGTGCGCACGCCGATAACGAGGGTTCACGGTCCACGGTTCTGGCTTGTCAGCCGACACCTGCATGATCGCTGGTTGCTCCGGAGCCACCGCATGCTTGGCGGTACACGAATATGCCCGACTGGCCCAGGACGGTCGTGCCTGGGAAACACGAAGTTTCTTCGCTGCTAGTCGCATTGTCAGCACCGGACGACATGTCCTTCTACTGCATTCAGGATTTAAATGACAGCTAAATGTACCTTGAGATTCTAGACATAATTGCAGATTTGAAGAGAGTCAACATGTAGAACAAAATGCAAAGTATGTTACAAGAACTATCTAAAATGCAGTTCTGCTTCTGTTTCAAGCAGTACTTCTAGCAGCTTCGGAAACCATACTTTTTACAGACTTCTATGAAGTCTTTCTTCCATTTTCTGGTGTCACCCTTCCATTCAGGCTGTTTTGGAACAAGACAGAAGTTTTACAGACACCAGATTACTTGACACAGAAGTTCATCTTCCGCTCTCCTATCATGTATCGCGTTTCAATATTTCACGGAATTTCACGTGCTGTTACGGATCAACAGGTCAATATCCAGTGCAGGTACCGAGAAGAAGGACTGCCACTGCCGATGCCAAGAGCACATCTAGAGGTGCCTCAGTAGTTGCTATTTTCTACACAAAGCTGGAGCAGTTCTTGGCGAGTCGCTCGTCTGAGTTGTGTTGTCGGTCGACATGCGATGGTCCCACTCGGTGAAGATATTCTCCAAAAATGATGCAAATCGCACCTCCAGAATCTCATTACCAGAGATATCCTGGTGTGAGAAGAAAAAGAAGAATTGTTTCAAATTTTCTCCAAAGTCCCCACCAACGATGTTTTCTTCCTTGTCGAGTGCCAAAACTGGCTGCTGCTTCAGTGCAAGACCTCCAGCGACCGTCCGCCTTCGAAAAAGGAACCCATCACTAGACGCTGCCAGCGGGATAATGCCGATGCCTCCCAGTACTTCAGGATTCTCCCAGGTGTCGACGGGCACCAGGAAGTAGTCGACTCCGCAATTTTCACGACAGAGGGCACGTCCCAACGGCTGCGAGAACGAGTAACG